TTGTTCATTACTCCTTCGTCTTAATTTTATAAACGTGCCATAGCAATCATGAAACCCCTGGAATTTTTGACGTTTTTACTTTATTGATTTAGAATTTGTGGAAAACGAAGAAACTAGAACATATCTCGGTGCGTGTCACCTAAAGCGAAAGTGAAGTAGAAAGCGTAAATAAATACAGAAAAATCTACAGTGTTATTTACAGTATTTCAACCGACCGATTTTTACTAAGTTTACTTTACACCAGGGATAATAAAACGGAACGATGATCCAATTCCTTTCATTTTAAATTAAGATATATATACATTGTATATGTGTGTATAAGTGTTTAGACCTTGATAAACGAGATTGTGAAAACTACTTAATTTCCATTATCTTCCCAAACGAGAAGTACAATTTACCATATACTTCTCCTCTTAAGCCCCATTTCAAGCCATTAACCTTCAATCTAATGACAATTTCCCCATATTTAAAATTCCTTTAGGGTTAAACTTCATTTCTTCATACACACACAAAGAGCTTTTACATGTCATACGATAATAAAAAGGATTCGGGGACCCGTGTCAAACACGTCTGAAACTGTAAACTTATAGTACTCATATAATATTTATGTCCTCATTTTGGTTGTGATCTCGCTATTTTATTAAACCAAACATGCCTGATCGTGGTAATGATACTTTATCTAAGTATGATGTGACGATTTAAAGACCGTTTTCGCGTTGTCACCATAGCAACAGCATCCTCAACAATACTATTATTCTTGCTTCTCAAAACTCCTATTACAACCAGTAAACAATTGAGCTTGATAATACCCATGGACGTAATATTGTCTCGGGATATTTGAAGCAACGTTATTTTTCAAGTGTAATCATGTCAGTCGAGATTGTGCGAGGTCCAAAGAATGTAGAAAACGACCAAAAAGATACGAAACCTCAACAAATGTCGATTCCTGTTTAACAACGTATTGGTTTGACATGGAATTATTATTGACAATTTTGTACTTCAGGATACTGAACCTGCATTGCCGTAACTATTGGCCGTTAAATAGTCCCAGAACAGTAATGAATATACATCTGTTACCCCGAACAATAAAAGCTTGCTGACATTAATGTCAACGTTAAACCGTCAAACCAATCAAAACCAATCATTTTGCTAACATATACGGCGAAAATTGTCTTTGGCCTAATTACCACAATTTGAAAATGTCCCCGAATAGTTGTTAATGCAAATAAACAAGGGCAATATTCAATCACAGGGTAGTAAAACTCGTTTTTGAGCACACAACGCATGTGTATTTATGATAATGTATCTTGTTTATATATAAATCATGATCACCTAATTTCATATGTTCTTGATTGCTGATAGATATACGAGCTCGGTATTGTTTTGATAAATGCTATTTATATGCTTCCAACTGTCAAATACTGTAAAGGTCCATTAACGTTGTAACGAATTTGTTGTGTTGGAATTAAGGATAATGTGTACAAATATATGCACTATGGTGTTTATCTGATAAGTTCTCTGAAATGTAGTTACAGTAAAAACTGCTTGAGAGACCATCTCTAATTAAAGACCACATATGCATGTGTTAAAGAACCACTTTTTAAACACATACAACCACATGCAATAAGATAAATATAGATATGGATCTGGACCACTCTTTGATAGTTGTTCACTTCGTATGGGGTAAATTACAGGGTGCAACCTTTTTTTACTTAAATTTTCTTTGATGAAGACGTCATCTCTTTTGCTCAAAATTACCATTTGGAATGCGAATTTCCATTATCTAACAGGAGCAGTGCGATGGTGGAATGGTATATGTATGATAGGCCATTCTCATATGTGGAATGCCCTTTGTATTACCCAGAAATATTTTCCCATTCGAGACTTATTTTGAGGAAAATGCTTTTTTTTTCAATTAAATTATCAAAACCATGCATGTGAAAGGCAGTTAATATTGCCTACGTGGTATCTCAAGGATGATTAGATAATTTGTAAAGGGCGCTTAAAAGATTAATGTAACACACATGCATAGGCTGTTGCACTGTAAAAGTGTGTTAATAATTGCGGCATGCCAAAAAAAGTATTAGACTGCATCTTACAAATAATTTATTTCATCCTTCTAGGACACTTTGGTAGTGATAGGGGCCAACAATTTAGAAATAAAATTGGTCTAAACTACTGTTGAAACCGAAAGGGATGTGCGTAAAACACCATTAATGTATAAATTTCAAAATTTAGAAAGATACTGGTTAATTTTAAACGTGCATAATATAAACCGAGCGACTACTAAAAAGATATAACGGTGGCTATCAAGGTAACGGCACTCCTCGGGTCTTAAACGAGCAGTAGCATTCCAAAAGCATCATACAAATCCGGATTGTATTTACCCTTATCATACCATATTAAAGAAATGTTTAATACAATCCTTACAGATGTATTTGACATTCAAGTCGCTAGGGAGCTCCACAGCTAGACATCATCCCGATAAATCAATAATGTCCAAACCTGGTATCATGCTTATATTGATAACCTCCCCTTGTAACAAATGTAGAACCTGTTAATGGGACATTTCCATGCTATACGTGATAGACGATTGGTGCGCCCTCTAGAGATAAGGACATTATGAAGGTGTCGTGTAGGGAAGACAAAATAATATGGCAATATCAATTCTTTTCTTGCCTCCAATAACAAGATTATTTGAATGAACAAATACAACTCATTTCGTTTTAATTAAAATGTCGACGTGAAGTCATGCTTTGAAATAGACCGTAAGAGGCTTTGGATAATGATAATATCGCTGTAATAGTCCAGTTGTCCATTTTTTTAGCGGTGAATCATTTTAACATGGGCTTTCGACGGGGATCTTGAAGTTTGCCTTTCGATTGGGTGTCCCCTTGATTCCTTTAGGTTCAAGTTTATTTCAACGAAATATATCATTGTTAATCGAATATTAAAGTATTTCCCATTTAGAATGCTATGTATGTTTAACTCGTATGGCATAATACTTCCATAATTGTACTTGTGCCTCGCGCTCGTAACACATTGACATTACACCACACTCATGAAATATTTACATGGAAAGAAACGGGCAACCACCCATTCTTTATGTTTAATGCTTTGTTTTAATGTATAACAATGATCTGCATAAATGATTTTTCATGATGAGGATCATTGTCGGAATTTGAAGACGTAATCATCATGGTATGCTGTATTTTCGATAATGCTTATAATCGTCTATAAGTGTACATTGTTGTTTTGTTGTCATTACCCCAGTTCTCACTATGAGGACGTTGGATTTGACCTAGATGGTGCCGTTGATGAAGCATAACATATTTACACTTGGAACACTTGGTTTTATTCTCCTTGTACTTTTTGAGAGGTCCCTATGGGAATCTTTTCTTTTACTCATATTTGGTCCTAGTTCAAATTACAGTTTTGCTAACACTTTTGCATTCTCATGTTGTTTATTAGGGATGTGTTCACATTCGATGTAGCCATTATGTTGTCTACGAATAGTTCTATACACTTTTCACTTGTTAATAGCAAAACCATTTTAAGAATTTGCGAACTTGTGACAACAAATCAATAATTTTCTTCTACAAGTCAGTTTAGCTACTGGATGTCATATTTATGACCTTCGAAACTGCAAGTATAGAACAAACCGAATTAGTTGCAGGAACGTTCTTTTGTTCGTCTGAAAAATAAAATGGTCAATGCTTTCTTTCCCGTGAATCAGATGCATGGTCTATTTTCGGTGAACAACAGGGACAGAGAAGCTAATGGTTCTAATCACGTTTGACTCCCGCGAGACTAAGCTCAATATACCGTTATACAGATTGATGAAGTTAAGTAGAGGGGTTGTGCTCTTTAGAGCGGTTTATGTCGAAAAGAAAGCAAAAATAAATCCGGTATAAAGAAAACAAAACGATTGTCTAATACTACCTGAACGTCAATGCGGTTAACGTTAAAGTGTGTCTGCGAATTAAACGAGTGTAAGGATGCTCTTACCAAAGCCAAAAATGTAGCTATGAGTAAGAAACCGGGTTGACAATAGCTTTGATAAATCCATTCTAAAAAGAAAATCATTACCTTGTGTAACTATTTTCTGAAAGACATCACTAACAGTGATTTGGTAGAAGAAATACCATAATCAAGCTTCGGTTATATCCAAAACGAAATTAAGGGGAAATTTCTGTATATTAGAAAAAAACTACAGTTGAATTTTCTAGGTTTTTTTTAGCCTGCAATAGGACAGGGATCTTTAAATGGCTCAATGAACCTATCTACTCAAGTATTGATATCCATACAGTTACTGTGTCAACACTATTGTCCTCCTTTATATACCTTTATATGAAAGTGCCAATAACAACAAGCGTTTTACTAGTTTTAAAGGGTGATATTAACGTACTTTTAAATGTAACTACAGTATGTAATCAACCGTCAAATAATGTCAGTCGTCAACTGTTTATTATATTGCATTAAAATATTTATGTAACATTGTGCATGCTTTTAACCCATTGACTAAAATACATTTTTCTTGCATAACACAGACGACCTCATCACATTGGGTATTAATAAAATGCTGGGCCGCGTTACGTAATACAAGCGTAATTTGTTTACCGTCCGCCGTCCTAGAGCATTGTAAGATAAAATCTGTTGTTTAAAATAAATGTAATAACATAAAACGTGTAATATTCCGCAAATCAAGTTTTGAAAATAAACTATATTTTGTGTTTTTTGCAAGGACGTCAAACGGAAATTTCGATGGATAACCTACTACGAAAATATTGACTAAAAGGGAAAAAGATAATTACAATGAATGACGTAATATACCATTTAGCCCTCAGGAAGTATATATCTAATGATACCGAACTCTGTTTCGTCGTCATTAAGTTTAAAAACCCCATCGCCATGGAAACTGATGATATCATGATTTATAATATTGCCACACGTACAACGCTACCAAGCTGATATCGTATAACCGTTGTCTCTGTTTGCAGGGTAAACGATAGACGGATGACATGGACAACTTTACTACCACGACGGAAGCCCCAATTGCCATTCATACAGACCAGATATGGGGACGCCACCAGTTCCTTCATGAAAGTCCGGGTCTTGCCATTCCGTGTATCGTTGTGCTTGCTTTCGCGTCTTTTGTAGGGACTCTCGGAAACGTACTAGTGATCGTGGCTGTAGCCACACAGAAGTCATTGCAGAACAAGGAGTCTACATTCATTGTCAACCTCGCCATATCGGATCTGTATATCACAACTGTAGCCGACCCTATGGGTATAGTAGGTAAGTGATTCAACAGAGTATACTTCAGTATATGTGTAATAGGTAAGATACCATATGCGTACATTAACATTTTCTTTGAACAACCTTTTAAATAAACCTACTATCAGAATGGTGTTAAGGTTGAATATCTCTTCGTTGTTTTAAACGTTAAATTTACCACGCAAATCTAGCAGCTCCTTCATCCTTAAAAAATGACCCTTCTAATAAAACACGAATAAACTGAATGGTCCTTATAAGTTTAGAAATTATTGGAAATGGATTTAGAAAAGTATAAAACGGAATGGCATTGCTTCACTTTGTGTATTTTTCGTCATTTGTTATACACAACAACAGGAAAACATGATGATATTGCTCAAAACCCTGACAATAAGTGCAAACACCTCTTTCACGCATAGTAAGGTGTTTTGTTTTGTGATGCAAAATCGTTTGGAGGGATTTTTCCCTTGGGCATCCTGTAGGTTCAGCAAATGCCATTTTTAAGAAATGACACCAGAATGAAGTGGCTCGGGATGTCGTAAAAGGGAATAAATACACTTATCAATATTAGAGCAACGTTTTAGTAACCGTCCGCGTAATAACATAGACGTGAAATTAACCTGAATAAAGCACGAAACTGAATACCGGACGGAAAAATCAATTGAACCTTTTAACGCTTCCGTTCCTCATCACGATTTTATGGTAAATATCCGACCAACGTCGTCATGATATTGTCAGTAAAATAACGGATAAAAAATATATTGATCCGTGTATTGCAAATGTATAACAACAAAACGATGGGACTTGTTTGTATGTGTGTGACACAAATGAGCAAGATTCATAAATACCAACTTATTAATTAGGTTGCGATGACGATTTCTATTCAACTATCAAATCAAAGTTTCCAAAATCATTGTTATCATTGTTGTTTGGTCGCTTGGAAGTGGGTACGTTATGGCGAATGCTCACACTTACAGATTGAAATTGCTTGGTTTAGGTGGAATCATCCCCAGTTGATATCTCTGGCTTTTTAGTTTCTTTGTAAACGGAACAAATCGATGTAAAAATCCTGATAAATAGAAAACTGGAAATACAAACGACAATATTACGCAGTGTCAATACACAACGCCACAATAAACCGCAGTTTCATATACAAACACCGACCAAAAATATATACCATAGCGACACCAGAACATTAAATATACCGCAGTGTCATACAAGAACACAAAAAAAGTATTTCATAGCGTAAACCCACAAGTTAAAAATATACTTCAACATCAGCACACAAGTTCAAAATAATAGAATGTCAACACACAGGTAAAACATACCATCGAGTCAATACAAATGGAAAATATCCCAGTGTCAACATGCAAGGATATAAGATACGTACATCACAGAGTCAACACATACAAACAACGTATACCAAAACATACTATTCCACAGTGTCAATGCAAAAAGACAAATGATATTTCGCTGATAAAACAAAACAGAAGAACAACATAAACCAAAGCGTCAACCCACAATGACAACTTATATCACAGCATCAACAATCGAAGACTAATTATACTACAGCGTCAACACACTCGGTCAGAACTCGAGTCGAAACGATTTTTCAATACATTTTTCGATATTTATATATAGGAATCTTATCCAGCCATCTTCCAAAACTTTTACATGAAGAAATTGCAAATTTACACACAACGCAATAAACATAATTATTTTATCTTGAATAAATTACCGACATATATATATCCGTTTATGAGTATTTGCCTATAAATCATTCGTTTAGGTACATCAGTACAGTTGTAATAGATACGATTTAAAAACCTAAAAAATAAATGACTCGTGAATTACTGTGAAACTCTCCATAGATGTAAGGCGTCTTATATTTCTTAATGGATAGTGAATATAATTCAGACAAATTTCCTTAAATGAAATTTTATCAAATACTTCAAGTAATGAACTTATTCTAATGTTTATCTGTGCTTTACTTCCACGCGCATGTATGCAAATGGCCGTTGTTTTCATGAAATTGACAACATCTTGACAATTTTCCCAAAACAAGATATTGGTCAACGAAGTTAAACGCTTTACATGTACAATATCTGAACTTTAAGATTCGGACAGGAATGCATCTAGATAAGCTGAGTTAATTGAAATCTTGGTCATTACCGATTGTAATATTGATCGCTCTATTTTAATCAAATAACACTGAATTCAAATTTCTGTTAGAAATAATTCTATAACTACGTAACATTGATAAGGGGCTGTTTGTTCATATCTTCAACCATACTTAGATCATGTGTTCTGATGTACCTGACTTGGCAGGTATTGATATTACGTACAGTACAGTAAACAGTCCTGCTATCGGCTGTGTATACACATGTAGGGGATGTAGCTCAGTGGTAGAGCGTTCGCTTCGCATGTGAAAGGCCCCGGGTTCAATCCCCGGCATCTCCAAACTTTTTATCTTACATTTTTTTAACTTATGATATAAGCAAGAAGTCAAATACATATTGTTTTGTGTATGCTATTTTGTTTTAACATAACGCAATTTTTATGTTCTATAAATGATACATTCCTATTTTCAAGCTTGCTAATATTCTTATTTTCCTTATATACCTACCGATGGCGTGTTTCACCGTTATAAAGAGAAGTTATAACTGATACGAGTTTTGAGCAGTTCCGACTTCTGCGGAAATTTACAGAACATAAAAACGTCATTCCTAGAATGCTATAACGCTCTTAGTCACGTAATGAAAAATGGAATTGAGGTTTCAATGACACGAAACTTTGTTCCAAAAATAGCAATCATTAATATAACCATGTATTGTTACTGACAGCATTTTAAACCAGCAACTGATGCAAAGTTTCATGTTACCTGTCAATTCAATACGGTTCTTAACAGAAACAAAATTATATACTTAAGAATTTAAAACTTTTTGTTTTTATTGATGAAATAAAAAAAGTAAATAAAAAAAATATCATTGAAATACTACAGTAGTGTATCTTTCTCATGATAAATCGACATCGATATGGCAGGTTGTAATTAGGTGTAATAGATTCATTAACGCAAAACGTTAAAATTTCAGCCAAGCTTGAAGGCGAACAGTTCTTCGACAGTATTCCCGGACTGTGCCAGACCATTGCCTCCATCTGTACTGTATCCTGTATAGTTTCCCTGGGGTCTATCGCGTGCCTAAGCTTCAACAGGTATATTCACATATGCCACAATCGCCACTACAACCGGATATTCACCGGCCGGAACTGCGTCATCATATGTGGCGCCCTTTATGTCGTCGGTATTACAATGGTGCTTCTCAATCTGACTGGAATAGGTGACCACGGCTTCGACCGTAAGAGTTTAGAGTGTATCTGGGATAGAATGGCTACGTTTCCATATACTGTGGTGTTCTCGGTAACTCTCGTCTGGGTACCGGTTCTTGTGACAGGAATTTCATACATCAATTTGTACATTTATGTGTTAAACAGTCAGAAACGAGTTCAACAATATTCAACGATGACACCAACATCTGAAAACAAGGATCATGATAAAAACGAAAGTGAAAAGACAAATCATCCAGACAACCATTCAAACCAACCCTTTATACACAGGATTTCTGTTCGGAAGTCACTTCATCTCGCCCGGACTATATTTGTAGTGTACGCTGTGTTCTCAATTTGTTGGATCCCATTCGCCATTTTAATGGTCGTTGACACGCACAATACATTCGCCCATGCCGTCCATTTGTATATTACAGTTTTTGCGCATCTACATCCCTCACTTAACTGGCTGGTCTATTACGCCACGAACAAGAAGTTTGCAGTTGCCTTCGACAAACTTCTGTTTATGAACAAATGGGTTCCCCGACTACGACCGGCTGTACCATCACTACATATCACAGCATCCCACACGCGAGAATGTCACAGTCAACAGTAAAACAAGTACAACTGCATCTGTACATTGTAATATGCTGTTGGAAACACTATAGTTCTCAGAAACAGCGGATTTAATCAATGAAGGCAGCCATAAATTATATTTTTAGGAGGATAAATACATGACACTCCCCATTCCATTGATATTCTTTGTAAATTCCCATAAGTGACATGTTACATACTGTTTATGTATATAGAATTTATGGGTTGTGAAACGTCAATATCACCTCTAATATTTCAAATAAGCATACCTATTGTATATTAAAAAAAAATCTTTGTGTAAAGTTTATTTATGGTTTTAGATTAAACTTTGTTAAATTGATAATTACAAAATAAGCATCTTTCAATGTATTAATTTCTATATGATCTGGAACTGGTTGCTGTTAAATAATAATAAATGTCTATTAATCATACAAAGACCACATTCTATCTATTACCTATTTGATTTGAGTTACTGAGTATGGGTAAAATATAAGTACTGAAGTTGATGTCTTAAAACTTGAACTGTGTTATTTATCCGCCATTTCTCTTTTGTACAACCCTTATTGGAATGACATTATAATGCTATTTCTGAATCTGTTTATTGATTTTGCTCACCATTTTGTTGTTTAAACACTGTCTAAAAGAAAATTGGTTCGTTTGAGAAAAATGTGCTGATATATCTAATTTGATTATAGGGGCCAGAAGCACTAGCCTGTGTCTCGGGGTAGGTATCGATTTCATGCGAACCAATCTATATCCGATTATGTTTATCTTGCTGATTTATTTCGATATAAATAGTTTGTTTATTGGATATGTTTTCCCCGGAGTAAAACAACAATGTACAGGCTATCGTGTTCAGGACATCATGGAGCACATTGTGCGACGGTGTTACGTTTAAGTAAACAGATTAGTGAAATCTGATTCCGGTGTTTTATTGAATTAATCTGTACTCTTCGTGATTCATATTGAAAACGGATATCAGGCATCATGATAAACATTTGAACTTGGAAGAGTTCGTAATGGTCGGTATCGACGGAGTAAGGTAAAAATGATGAAGATGAAGAGTGCAGAAAAATTACATAAAATAACATCCAAGGGGGAAAATTGGCGGCACGAAATACAAATTTCCCTGAAGAACGAAAATGATTTTTTTTTTATGAAAGATTCCTATACTCCAATCAATCTCACAAGAGTTGACACGTGCTAAAAATATCAAAATAAGGAAAACGCCGTATCATCAACTATAACCGAATACCAATATGCAAACAAAACTTGTGGACAGGGAGAACTAATTGAAATATCTTGTGGTACAAAGGTATAAGAGATCACAAAAAAACTGACGATTTCGAATCTTGGTTAGAACTTTCTCTAATGAGGCACACATGATTTGTTTTCTTCTGCAAACATTTAAAACAGATTGCAAGGTAGTTTGTAGAACCTTTCATTTCTTGACCTGGGTGTTGGGGAGAAGTAGTATTTTATCTAAAATGTTCTTGTATCTTCATTATCGGATATGCATGATTGCATGGTGACGTGACGGTTTCTGCTGCTGAAACCTCGTTTTTTATATTTAACCAGTCATGTATTGTAGAATGAAAATGGGTTCTTACAGCGGTTTATCCTTACCTTTTTTCGCCAGCATAAACCGTCGGTATCGCAGCCGTACACTCCTGGCCGTAGCAACCAACGGTTTAAGCAACCCTACATGATGTTATATGTGCGTTCTCCTATTATAACAGCCATTATAAAATGTGCTATACAGGTCTGATAAAATGTGAAACTTAAATAATAAAAATTACTTGTTACATTTCATAGGATAAGTAGATTTCGCCAGGTTCAAAATATGAGCACAATGTGTTTACACCAAATTTGTTATATGCTGTTAATATATATATATGAGACAGTATAGTTGTGTTAATACCGACATAAGGAAAATCCTCAATATACGGTCAAGAGAGAAGATTTTTCACACTAAAAATGGCGAACTCTAGAACAGATGAACATGTGTAACCGGTCAAATTGGACAGAAAAAATGATATTATGTTTAGGTTAGTTTCGTGTCGTATTGCGATATCAGGAGAGAGAATAATAAGGAGATAACAGGTATTTTTTCGTTGTGTGAATATGTCGTCGTAGCTCTAACATATGTTATCAGGATTATACAACACATACTCATTAACCTTTTTGATACAATTGTTTCATAAATGAAAACGTATATTACGATATCAATGGTCATCTTCAGAACAATAGAAGGGAGATATTCTAAATGTCTTTCGCTGCCCACAGTTCGCCAATCAATGCATGCTTAGAAGACAATTGCCGAACGATTTAAGGTGCCGCATTGGGCTTTATTGCACACTGTTTTAATTAAGGTTTGATTGTCAAACATTTCTCTCTCAGCTAGGCTCGTTAAACCGAGAACCGTCCTTTGTTATCTTCAGGCGATCCCTTTGAAGAGTTTGCATGTAAATAGGTCTTAATGAATCGTGTCTGTAATTTGGCACATGTAATTTTATCACACAGCTCACATCAATGACATTGAGCTATATTAAAACCTCAACGCGTTCATGGAAGTTGAGATCATACGTGGGCATTATCGCCTGTTTTTCAACTCAAAGTGTCTGATTGGAGATAATGACTGATTGACATCATCCTGAACTAAGGCGGAGTAAGCACCGTGTCAAGCATGTGAATGACGCCGTTCGAAACAGTCTCGTCCACGGATATTACATTAGCACCATTTACCTTGACACCATCTGGAGAGAAAATCAAATGAGAAAATATTATTTTAACAGGCACGTGTTAATTGAAAGAACGCTTGTCATAAATTCTTTTTTTAAAACAGTTGCAGCTTGTCGACGTAATCATTTACACTGAAGAAACGAAACCTATGGTGATACGAAAGCTGTTTCCTCCTAGTTAAAGAATTCAAGATATACGTTACAAAAATTAAAGATTTCAAAGTAAAATGCTATTTTCAACCTTTTGTATTTAAGGATTCTACAATAATGAAAACTTTATATCAAAACCATTTAATTGAATAGTACATCTTTTCCCAAGATGTCAAAATTCATCCCTAAACATGCATTATAATTACATCACGGGAGCTGCAAGCCTTGTACTCTGTCACCTTTTGTGAGTTTTTTAAGTACACCGTACAAGAATGCATGAGCTTTGATCATAATGAATGACACTTGCATGTGAAGAAACGCCTTAATCAATGTAACACGAGACGTTCGTTTGCGATTAAATCTCAAAACGATTTCCTCATGCGTTTTAGTTTGCTTGATTGAAAGAGGCGAACAATCTTCCATTTGGTGTCGGCCTGTCTTCATCAATTATTGAACAATGCTTCAAGGTAGGTACTGTATACATTTATTACAACAATGACAGTTTAATTGTAGGCTATTACCCAGAGACACGGTGAGATTGAGGTATTTGCCGCTCAGCGTTTTCAGCGATCCTGTCTCCATGCCAGCCCGGAAGTACGTGTTTAATACCACGTGATAATACATCAACTCTGTAAAGACAAAAAACACGTGATTAGATTTATGTGATGACATAGTATATCTATGTCAGAGACAAACCATGTACGTGACTAGATTTATGTGACAATATAGTATATCTGTGTCAAGATAAAAACATGCACGTGAATAGATTAATAGGAAAACATAATATATTTGTGGCAAGACCAAACAAAATATGCACGTGCTGTATTATAACCACATCAAAACGAAGAAAATGTATACGGTTTCTTCAGTTACATAACAGATCACTGTAAGCAGGCTGTATTTATTTGTAACATTAAAAAACCAATGGCGATACATGTATATTAAAGGACACCCTCTCTGCAACATACTCTGATGATGATCTGTTCTTCTTTTTGGGATTTCATAACCGTGGTATACCTTCTGCTACAGTATCAATACATTTCTATTGTTTTCAAGGGGAAATGATATCAACTTACTTATAAATGAACATGTTGTGTTATGTTCTAACCTTGGAGTGCCGTGGTGTTCTTAAGAAGGCCATCAATAGCTCCTTTTGGCAGCTTGGCGAAGGCCTCGTCGCTTGGTCCGAATAGCGTTAGAGGTCCCAGTGCTGTTAAAACATATTACATTAGTAATACTTCACATCGAGGAACATAGATAAATTAGTAACTAAAACAAAAACGTGAAATTTGAGAAAAAAACAGTATGTACCAAATGGCATCAAAATCGATGTCTATCACAATCTTCGAAATCCATGGTTTCCGTTCTGGATACTTATATCTTCCTTACACACTTTGATTATGTCATGACCAAACCGATGGCTCGACTTATACGTGCCGCGTTGCGGATGATATAAATTAACTTATTTGATCTTTCATGTACATCAAAAGAATCGTTCGACAGCATAATTGTTAAATAGACTAAATAGGCTACAAAGTTTGGTGTCGCTCCTCTTTACATTTCAAAGGACAGGTGCAGTACCAACCCTACAACTGTAGCCATTGATCCGGGTTTTTTAACCTGATACCAATCAAATAGCTATTCGCGTGCCTACCATTTAATTATAACATATTTCAAGGATGTAAAGAGGTTATGGGAACCACGAACGGAAGCCTTGAATTTCGAATATTGTCTTTCACTTACTGCCGACATCCTTGATGACAGCGGACTCTATGAGAAGAGTGGTGAGCGTCTTGAGCTGAGATGATTGGCGACATCCGTCCGCCATTGATCCGATGGGCGGAAGCATGACGCCATCCAGGACGTTCAGCACGCCATTGGTCGCGTTCAAGTCGACCCTTCCCAGGTCGATAGGACGACCAGATGCTGTCGCCACCTGGAATTTACACATTCAAACATAATTGTTTTAACAGTTGAATACTGTGCCGTGTGCCTTCGCATGGTTTTTCCTTGTGATAGCACTCTAAAGTCGGCATCAGATCCGCGCTATCGCAAGGTGGCAAATACACCATCATACCTCCACCACAAATACACACACGCACGCATACATTGCGCACGTTTATGTTGTGGTACGTCCTCAAATGACCCCAGCTGTTAAGAGCACTTTAAACCCTTAAAACCAAACCAAACCATTGACAATGATACGCCATTTTGTGTAATAAAGCCAATGTGTATGTTTGTTAAGTTCTTCTTAAATTAAAATAATTTTATTTTCGTTTAATACATTCACGTAAATCAATTTCAGCGTAATGTGCATACCTTAGCTCTTAAAAACCTAGTCCTTAAAGACATGCAAACGTACGCTAACTGTATGTTTTCAATTAATACGAACCATAACATTTCGTTACAGTCAGTGCTACGAGATCTACATTTAATATGCTTAGCTCAAATAAACACCTTAAACTGGAAGTAAACAATGATATTTCAATATATTACTATGCATGAATAACCTTAAAGCATTTGGCATCTATATGTGCTGTGAATGTAGTAGCAAGATTGCTTAAATTATCCTTTTTATGGCTTCAGGTTCATATCGTTTGCTATGACCAATACACACATCTAATTGTGACTAAATACTAACGTTTAATAAACACATATTAGACAATTAATATCACAGAACGCGTAATCAGAATATAAGAAGAAGAAGCATTGGTTTCAGTTGGTATTCATAGGCAGTTTGATTGAAACTTGAAGTGCCAATGTTATTTACCTGTTCGAAAATAAATTGTCCTAAAGTATCATAAAGGCTACAAGTTCAAGCTGCTAATTAGATATTAGTTACGGCATTTTAATACTAAAGTTTGTAGAATATACCGTATTATTGTGGTAAAAGTTGATTCGGATTGGTTGCCCACTGAGTGTGTTGAAGGTGGCCTCGTTTTTCAGCTGAGACCTGTGAATAGTCTGATTAACTATGTGATACTGAAGGAACGCCAGTCTGGTCAGATTGTCATTCTCCAAGGCATAACGGATCTCCATGGGAAGTTCAAAGAACGCATCGTCAGTTGGTCCGAACAGAGTCACATTACCTAAGAGAAAGGCAGGGGAGATGTTTATGGCGGAAGATCAGCATTAGTTCAAAGAAGAGTAGAGGGACAGCAAAAGAGTACGAATTCCATTTCTCGCGTTTTACTTTAAGGTATTATCATCATCAATGACTTTGTCTATGTACTCAAATGTTGCGAAGACATAACACCCTTAATGCCAAAAAATGAATATGTAATGAAAACATTAAATAAAAAATGAAAGTTAAGTAAATATAATTCAATGTTTGACAAAAATCAAAATATATGATGGAGAAGAAATGAATTAATAATGTTTCTGGTTTGATATAGTAGTCATCAGCATGTGATTTTGATTGAAGATATTGAAACTAATAAAAACAAAACAGGTATACATGTACACAGAATAGATCAAATACACTGGCAGTACTAGATGATACCCAAATGCTGAACATACACTGCATATACATATACATATATATATATATGGGGCAAAGAAGTAATTCCAACAGTGTGGACAAGTTTAAGTTGTCAAATTTTCGGAGCGATCCGCTCCTTTTTCAAGACACAGTGAAACAGAACAGTTACATGTACATATACATCATATTACAAGAAGATAGAATTGATATATTATAATTGAAAATATAGCTATTATATAAAACCAATAGTCCCCTCGGCTAAAGACAGTCGAAGGCAGCAATTACGCTGAGAGCATCGCAGACAAGGAACGCTGATGTAGAGGACCTATTCTTGCGCAAGATGCACCGTCATATAAAGTGAGTCAACGAGAGATATCAAAAACGTGCAACATGTGCATTTGGAAATCTGGCCCGGTAAATGTGAAAAACTCCAATCTGCTACGGAATGTCTCATTAGTCGTATCCTACGTACATACCTCTATTAGGATCCAGTGTTATATGGGATTTTACCGTCTATATTACTTCTTTGACCCATACATATATATATATACATATACATATATATATACATATACATACTTCTTTGCCCCATATACATATAGATATACATACTTCTTTGCCCCATATACATATACATATACATACTTCTTTGCCCCATATACATATACATATATATATGACATTTATATATGTTAACATTACATAGATTACGTTCAGAAACATTACAGGTAAAAGGTTCATATATAGTTATAGATATTTAAGGATTGCGTCTGAGTTTTTACATTTTGTACATCACTATATATATATATACAATGTACATAGCGATAAATAGTTTTAAATGTCCATATGACGGTAAACATATATATAAAACAAAACACGAAGACTATAATTCGCTAGCGCTTTCATCCATATTGGGGCTCTTCAGGCTAAAGAGCCCCAAGATGGGCAAAAGCTTATAGTCTTCGTGTTTTGTCTTATATAAATGTATACTTATATAAATATATATATGGGTCAAAGAAGTAATATAGACGGTAAAATCCCATATAACACTGAATCCTAATGGAGGTATGTCCGTAGGATACGAATTACTTAAAATATTATATGGGGCAAAGAAGTAATTCCAACAGTGTGGACAAGTTTAGGTTGTCAAATTTAATGAGCGTTCCGCTCCATTTTCAAGACACAGTGAAACAGAACAGTTACATGTACATATACATCATTATACAAGAAGATATAATTGATATACTATAATATATACATATATATCAAAGTTGTAAATAGAACAACGTCCCGTGATCATACTACTTATTCTCTATTTGACCTCAGATCATAAAGATACACAATGTATAACCGTATCACTTTGTTATCATAAATCCAGGATTGTCCCTGCTACCTGTACTTGCTCTATATTAAACACTAATATAATGTTATACAATCTACCGGTTTACACAGGTGGACATTTCACTAGGTAGCAAAATGTTCTTGACATTTTATACAACTGTCTCTATAACTGTGTTTTCAGTGTTACATCAATGAGTATTTGAGAAAATACAACTAGTTTATAACTTTGATGTTATACGTATTACGTATGATGTGTCAATTACATAATAAGAAGTGAATTTAACAAAATATATAATCATTGTTTGGGTAACTTAGTTATATTATATAAATCGATGTCATTTATTTAGTAAGGGGAGTGCTAGTGCATTATTTCTGCAGAGAATATGGTGTTTCATTGAAGTTGAAGATGTATTTTGTAATAACAATTAAATCATTGTGAGGTTAGGTATTGCAATTATCCCTTATATATGTTACTTATAAAATGTCCCTTATCTACCGTAAAGAAAAAATCAGAATGTTAACTCATATGATAGACTTGCGCAAGTCTATTATATATACATATTATAATGCGATTATCAAACCAGTCTATTCAGATGAGGGGGTTTATGAATTACCTGGTTTGGCCAGTAGATCGTCCAGTCCAGCCTGACTTGCCAACGTCACGAGTACAGACTCCCCTTCATTTATGGCTGTTTGGACTAGAGACACCTTGTCCCTCAGGTACATTAACTGGTGTCCAGCTACCAGTAGGATGACCAACGTGTGGAAAAGAATGGCGATACTTACACTCCACATTGTCACTTTTTCTATCTCACGTCATGTCAATACTCAGGTACACACATGGCCGACATTTTTAAACACAGGGTAGATAAGCGACCTTACAAGAAGGAAGTCTCACCGTCACACGCACGCTTATCATCACACACATACCGATCAACACACATAAACACACACACTCGACGGTACAAGTAATTGTAAACAGCTGTCTGAGCGTTTAAATAGATTTTATTGTACAGGTAGATTAGTTTCAGCCAGAAATAAGCTTCCTCCTTTTAAGCGCAACACATTCAATCAAATTTCACAAACAGCTGTTCGTTTCCTGATATGTGGTTTATTTAACTATGTTAGCGTTCAGAATGATTGTGATTGGTCATTAGTAAAACACCCGAATCGTTAACCTGTTGAACCTTAATTTAAAGTACACTTTTTATGGTGTTGACATGTTTTATTAAATGTATATGAAAGGGTCCACAGTTCATTTCTTAAAGCCTTTCCGACTTCTTCATTTTGTGTTATACAAGAAGTGTTAAGTCATACATGATATGTGATAATCTTTTGTTTGATTGTTATGTTACTCACCTTTCTTGAGATTACAAATCTATCCACCTTAAATATTTCTCTTAAAGTGAGTTACGCAGCCACTTTTCATTTCTGTATTTTGTTCATATTGTTTAGTATGAAGACGGGACATTATAAGGCAGAAAAATGCCATCAATGTCTTTAAACATCAATAAATTATTTATACTTTTATTATCAAAACTGAACACATACTGCTTTACCATGAAAACTATATGAAGGAGAACTCTACTAAACACACGTCTTAGATGAGCCATAAGTAGGTTCGATTTAAGAAAGCAATACAATAATTCAGACAGGTTGTTACTAGAAATATCACTTCCAATGAAGTCGAGCGTGGGAGCATTGGCAAAACATTAGAACTACATGTTTGGCATAACTGTCTTGCTGCAACCAAACATTCCAAAGGAAACAACTCGTACGCCAAAACTAAATTTCTGAATATACTGAAAAACTAAAATTCAAGTAGAACAATGAATTGTCTTTGGAAATATGTGAAATATGAATACATTTTAACTGTTCTTAAACAAAATATTTCTGGTATTAATAACTTGAAAGGTGAGGTAAAATCTTCAATAAGATTCATCAGTTTGGAAATATGTGATATCAAAGTTTTGCTTTCTACACAGACAATGTTAAATACGTACATTGTTTGTGTAGAAAGTAAAACTTGGATATCAGGTGAAGTAATAATTGACATTTATATGATTTTTTAATCATAAATAACATGACTCAAAATTTAAACGACATCACTTGGGGATTAACTAAGATAACGTATAGTTAAAATTAACGATTAGTTTTTTTACTATTATTTTCACAGATTTTTCATTTTAACGTGTATTCTATTATAAATGGATTAAACTCAGCTGAATCTATATAAAAGTCCTCACAAAGTCAAAGAAGACATGCGATACATTGTATTCAGTAAATCTTCTAGTACAAAACATTCCCTACATAGTCTGCATATCAATATTGACCATTCGAAGATTGACATTTTTCAAACGTATTTTAGATAATACAAAACTCTACTATAACTTACTATTCGATCCTTTTTATGCTGACACCTATTGTGTGATGATGGTTATAAAATAGTATCTGAACTATATTTTTGAAAATCAGCTGACTTTTCCGTTTGTAGATGTCGATATCTTGAAGTCATAGTTAACTGATTTTGCATGAGAGAAAACTATGTAAATAAATGTCTGATAAACATAATAGAGAGGTTTAGCAACTTTACGGGTACGTGTAGGAGGGGAATTCCCTAGTTTTTCAGTGTATGACGTCATCAGTTTCTGCGCTCGGGCACCTTCTACACGTATGCTGAACTTGTAGGGCGGACTCTTATAGGAAAATTCACATATTTCTGTAGGTGGATTCTATAAGCCCTTCTAAGCAGAGTGCATTTAAACTTGGTTTACATATTAGTCTGTATTTGCGAAAGGTCCATCAGCATTTTCCATTCAAATCATCAATAATGCAGCAGGGAAGGCCTTACATGCTATACGTACATTGCCACTCAATATAACGGTTAAAGAAAGAAAGCAACACCACGCTGAAAAACAATATTTCATTATTGAATGTACATGTTGTCTTCACTTTCAGTAATGTTCCCTCATTATCTCCATATTCATAGTCTAAACCAAGTGTTAAATTTGACCATTCACTTTATACGGGAAAGACCAGTTAACGCGGATAACGTCACGTGAAGATTTCGGAACGAGACATTTCCATTTGTAAACATAATTAGTAGATGATCATGGCCGAGAGAATTTCTGGTGACAGTATACGTAGTCACTCAGTGCGTTTACACCTATTTCTGTATTGTAATTTATTATCAATGTGGCATATGGTAGCTTATATCACAAACTCAATTCAAAAGTATATATTTACATTTGCATGGCATTGTCACTATATAGCCTCTTTGAGAGCTGTGTCGTTGATGGGACTTTAATTACCATGCCGCACGAGCCATAATTACCATGCCGCACGAGACACAATTCTTAGCGTATTAATTACAACACTGACCGGAACTACAATATCCAATGTAAATAAACATGACGGCTGCTGAAATATCGCTGGGCATTGTGAGATTTGATAATGTCATTGTAACTTTATGTGCAAAATTAAAATTAGAATAAAAAACACTTTTATTACAACGAAAACAAAACCAAGGTCTGCAATATCGTACAAAATGCAGAAAACACCAATGCCGGCAATGGAAACAATTTTAACGCTCGTGCAATTTATCAGAAATATCGTCTGTTACACTGCACTGATCAACAGGGGTTCGTTATAAATGTCTGAAATACACATATTCTATAGACCTACTGACACATATGTTACAGACCTACTGATGAGTCACAGCACACATAAACATTCGTCATTTCAGACATTTGTAACGAACCTGTGCTCCGTCGCTAGATCACTCACTTCAAACGCTATCAGTTTCACGCGTCTCGGATCCACGGTTCCTCAGTTTCAGACGACATGTCAAATAACGATGCTGTTATAGAATCTACCGATTGTTGTCGGGTTCCCATACAATCAACAAATACATTCACGCCTGGATTCTTCACAAAACGAGCAAAGAGAAAAGTTCGAATTAACTTCCAAAAATAACTCCCTCGTGGAGGTCAAGGTCCCATTCACGGTGTTCACTGTATTTATCCATGCGCGAAATTCGTTCCGGGGGGAAAATCGAAACAATTTCAAATCTTTCAGCTCAGATTTCTATTGAAAAACTGAAATCACCCTATAACCATATCATACGCAATTGTATTGACACTAAATTGTGGAATAAATTTGAAGTGTTTGTTAAAATGTCAAAGTACTACTTTGTTTGCCAATCAGCACGCGACAATACGCTGTTCAAACTATTGAACGAAATTGTGTGGACTGTCGATAAGGCGGGCATTTTTAATTTTAATTATGAATTATAAGTTAAAAAAGAACATAAGAGGCAGAGAAAACGTAAATATAAGTATTGAACTGTTTTTGTATGATATTTTTGATCTATTTGAATGACAAAGCTTTGCAACCCACCAAATCATCATGCGCTAGCGCGCATTATGTTTTTTGCTTGCAAAGCTGTGTCATTCGAATAGATCATAAATATCATACAAAAACAGTTCAATGCTTAATTAAAGCATCATATTGGTTTTTTTTTTTAAATGAGGAAAATAAAGAATATCGATGCCGAGTTGGTAAAAGAATCCCAAGAGAGAGAAATGTATTCGCGCAATTTCTTATCGCCTTCTGTACAGTGCATCATGCTGTATTTTACTGTTGAAACCAAAAAATGTTATTCGTTTTAAAACTGATCTAATTTCCCAGTATTTATTGTTTATCATTTTACGTTATTTGCACACATGCCAGTATTCAAATTAACAAGTCTGCTGGTACCTTAATCCTTTATAAATGACCTCTGGAAGTTGTACTAAAAACAGGTATTTATTTAGTTTGGGTTTATTCCTGTGTTTTGAAACATGAGGCATTTGTCCCTGGCCCCACGTGCAATTTTTAAATAACTGAAACAAATTACTATTTTTTAGTTTGACATACATCTTTCTGATGATTTTTGAATCCGTGAGTTAATCATCTGTCGAAAAAGATGTTGCTTTGCTATGCATTCTAAGTCTACATCATGGTCAACCCTGAATGGTTGATACATTTTAAGATTTAAAACTATTTTGGTGTAGTGATGCGTTTCGGTTACTGATTTGAGTCCTTCCTTCTCATGGATTATCACCCTGGATCTAGACTGGCTACCAGCCCCTAAGTTTTTTTGAAGAATTTCTCAGCTGCATTTTACTACTAGCTTACCTCCCCCTAGGTTAGAATCAGACATCCAAGTGATCAAAATTATTAGAGTTAATTTCTTTTCTTAATTATTTAATATTCTAGAGACAGTGGCCAGTCTACCCTGGACCGTTAATTTGAGATAATGTTGCTTATTAATAATATTTGCTTCTATTTCGATTATATGATCAAAATCATTTTACTTTACTGGGCTCGAAAATAATATTTATAACAGATAGTGTGTTTTAAACGCCGTGGCCGTGAGTCGATTACTTTATTACTCTGTCCTAGAGTGCAAAGAGTCTTACCATATATCATCACACGATTATCCCGCGGAGGGCCCCATTAGAAGAAATAACTAACCAGTAACTTAATGATCTCTTCTTTAGCGCATCAACTCATGGGAATAAATCATGAATTCTATCCGAAAAAAAATGCCCATTGACATAACAAAAAATCACTATTTATGTGCCACAAAACAAACATGCTAGCCACGTTACTGCTTCTAATTACATAAAAAATATTTCGCTCGATTTCATGCTTTGTCCCTCCATGTCTACCGGGTATCCCTGAAGAATACGTGCAGCGTTCTGGCTGCTAGGACAGTTATTTCCCTGTTTGAATTCTTCCCACCTGCCAATCCACTTGTAAACCTTTGAGAATCTTCTGACTGTTTGGCAATACTTCGATTTGAAACTTATGTAAATGGTTTTCGAGCGCTGACGCTTCCGACGGAAAAATGTGTATTACGAAATGGTGTGTTATGCACGTGCCTTGTCAGAAATAGCGCAACACATTCAATATATATCGTCAGTAGACGAGTTATGGTTTCAATTTTATATTTTTATCAATATATCAATATATATATATCAGAGCAAACCGGCCGTTATTTTCTTTGGTGAGATATCAAGATATTTGATATTTCCCCGTTTTTGTATTCTAATAAGTATATAACATGTCATATGCACACAAAAACGACACACCCAAAAAGTGGCATTAACGCTTCATTAGAGTGAGCACTATCAGGGTGTTTTGGGCAATAGCATTGTCTCCATGCCGTGGACAACGCCGGTAGTGACGCTGATGTCTGGATAGTCCATCGTGTAACCATTGACAGTGCCGCAGGCTGTAAAAATAATGAATAGTGTTGAGTAAATAATTCAGCTACCTGCACATCATTATTGATGTAACGACGGATTTTATTGACAATTTCTTTATAAAATGATTTTGAGTATTNCCCCCAAAAAAATGCGGTTTTCCAATAAACCATGGCTAAATGTCGATCAATAAGAAAATACAATTCAAGTTGATATGTCCTATATATATATATATATTGACAATCCCTTTTTATACGAATGTAATTAATACAAGTAGTTAAGATTCAATACGAGTTATCTTTCTTTATCCCTTCAAGAGAATCTCTGGTTACCCGACATCCATTGCACACGTAAGGAATTACTTAATCAGAACTAGATCCATAAACAAATATTTAAACCAGAATGATGTATTGATGGGAATGATATTGCTGAAAGGGCGACATCATTTTTACTAGGGTTAGGTATCTTAAGTTACGTGCAAGATGTGAACACGATATGAAGTGTATGAAGAGATTATAACTGTGTTTGTACAATGAATACACCGTATTTACAATGTAAGTTGATATAACTGCTATAAATACCATGCACACAAAGTATATACAGCACTATTGATTCTTGTTATATAATAGATTAACCATACATAGCCTTTAAAAAACCTAGGCACTGCATCACAATGATTTGACTATCAGATTACTTTTTTTTTACCTATATCAATCTCTTTTTTTTGGTCCGATTTCTTTGGGCTTGTTAATCTACTTTATGTAGGTGATGGAGAGGGGATTTTTTTTCTTTTTATCATTCACGTCATTAGACCAACAGTGTTACAGAAGGTATAACGTATTGATTCTAAAAATACTACTTACAAAAACTTGGATTCATGTATACCAGGTATTTTAATAGGCTGATATGTAGTTTGAATAAATTAATTTCATGAATAATGCTTTTTTTCACCCTTTTCCTTTTAGTTGATATTATCTAAAACAAGCATACACACAATGTTTTTGTAGTGATCTGCGATAAAAAAAAATGTACTCGCATATCCAACAAATAAATACATATATATTACTTGATACCCTTTTATTGAACACCGATACTAAAATAACTCAAATCAAATACGATGACTCTAAAATTGTTTTAAAGCTGAAACAGATAGAGATAATCGCGAAGGTATGAGAAAAGTTTTAGAATGATGGCCTTTATATTACTTTTCTTATCTGTCTTGATATTTTCTGACCAGGGCGCCTCCAATCCTCAATACTCGAGAGATATCTATTCGCTCTGTGCACCCCTGGAATATGTCATAGCAAAATCGAAACCTCAGTGTGTGCCACCTCGTGAATGAGACGAGAAGACTAGATTGATCCTTTGACGTACATCGTAAGAATATGTCGGTCGCGTAACGGTAAATTGAGTGGCTTTGAAGTCGGGTGTCGCTCCTCTGTAATCTTCAAAGGACAGGTATAATCTTAGCGATTGGTTTTACCTGAGACCAATAAAATATCTAGCCGCTTGCCTTCAATTTCGCTATGACATATTACTTACGCTCTGTGTATCGAGGATGGGAGCCTCCTTGGTATCAAGTACACCATTCCTTCACCACAAAACAATCATGGTAAACTGTTTTTATGTGATTATGAATAAACATACGATTAACATCATGAAATAATGTAATTATCAGATGATATTGTGTGTAACCGTACAACCGACATAATTATGTTTTATATGATTAATTACGAGTACCCTTTTATGTCTGTTCCATCCTCTCTGTCCGTTTATGTATGGTAGGTATTTCACATGGTGTAGACTCTGGTAAACACTTTGTCTGTGTAGACAGTGAGCACCCGTTGTCGTAAGAAGAACATTATGGATCCTTCTACAGACAACTCTAGTTTTGCATTAAATTGTTTTGCGTTAAGCTGCCGTTAAGCCCATCAGGAATAAGTTTTACCAGTTCCAATATCAATCAAACAAAATCATATCGGTAGCGCTGTAGGTCTGTTATGAGGGGATTTAAATAGGTTGTAGACGTTAATACGAACAGGTGTTCCGCTGACCGACTTAAGGATAATTTCCTTCATTTGTGAAATTAGTTGCGAGAAGCTTGGTCTTGAGGAGGTGGCACCGGTGGGGTTCCTTCAGGAACGTCATATTCGTTTGCAGCAGTTTCAACATAGCTGAGAAAATAGTCATGAATGCCTTTTTTGTAGGTCCATATAACGTCATAGCCACATCTGTAAAAATGTTAGATTGTGTGCAATGTTACATTATGTGAGATTGTGTGGAAGGTAAAATTATGTAAAATTGTGACTGAAGTTAAATCATGTAAGATTGAAAATATAAAAATTAATTTGACAAAAACATATAAGATTTGTAGTTAGCATGAATGACTATTTTGTTTCGGTATTTTTTCTTTGTTAATTTCTTATAATTATCCTTTACATTTCAAAATTCATGTAATGTATATAATTATTCTAATCAGATGAATAGCAGTTCTGTTTAAATTATATTTATGCATACAATTTTTTTTTTTATTTCTAAACACTTTGGTCATTTGGTCATTTATTATCATATCAGAATCACACATCATCAAAAGAAAAGGTAGTGAAGAATTCTCGGACTAAATTTAGACCCGATTATATTCGATATACAACTTAAATAGATTATGACATTAAAAGTTGACCCTCCTTATCACACGCCCACCATGCCCACCACACGCCCACCGCATCTTCCCCTCTCTTCGAGTCTCCCTGCCCCTCCCCCGTTCGAGTCCTCCCACCCACTTCAAGTCTGAATCTGTACTTCAGAAATATAGTTCCTTGTGTAGAATGCCTTGTTTCGTCAATATCTGTTCGATTTCCGATGAATGTAGAAGTTTTAAAAGCTCTGTTTCCCCCTCATGTTGCGCCAACTGGGCCAGGTTTGTAGATGTTATCCTTTGTTCATCCCTTTTGTCAGATAACATAAATTCTTTTTTCGGGTAATACCAAAGATAGTCACAATATCATGATAAAACAGAACATCGCCATTTTATCCTTTATAGTGTGGTATGTTTATGTTGTACTACAATAATATATAGATAATCTGTAAAGTCATGTATATATACACATTATAAATGTAAATAGGGAGCAATATTGTGTCAACACTTTATTTGATAGCTTATCCTCACTTATCAAATTTGTGTTACACTTATACGTTGTATATCCTATATCACTGTAGTGAGACGTTTCTTGAAAGACAATTATCTATCTACATACAAACACATCGTCCTTTTTGGACAACAGTATATACATCTGGTATAAATCCCAGTTAAATCAATGTAGAAACGAATGATTTCAAAAACTGAGTGGTGTATATTGACCCGACAATACTTATAGCAAATTAATACAGAATTAATTATTCATTGGCCTGGATTAAATTCTATTTTTTCACCATGGTATTTAATCACCGGTATGACATTACTTGATGTATGCATTTTATTTTTAAGTTTGTATTTTTTATTGTATTTTGATTTTCTGACAAGACTGTACTTTTCTGAGCTGATTTAGTGTATTTGCACTAAACAAAGTCTCGTTAAAAAACGATGTATCACATCAACACCGCTATCATTTAAAACGAATGATATAGCACACGGACTACTGTACCATTTAAAAACTTACTCTTCCTGTATTTTTTGTGGAGTGTTTGGTGTTGTCCTTCTGTTTGCGTGTCTCTTCTGTTCGCCTTGTTGTTCTTTTGGTTTTGGTTTGGTGTCTTCAGTTCACCTTGTTATTCCGTCAAATATTGATGACGTTACTCTCACAAACAAATGACGTAACAATCAATACCTGATCACAAGAGAAGATAACTCTGCAGTTCGCAAAGACGGAATACCCCCCTCAACGAAGAGGAGGGGTTACTGGAATATCGCCATGTTTGTCTAGATGTCTAGATGTCTGGATAGCTGTCGATGACGTATATACTACCAGGATCTGCGGGGGGTATTAATTATCCTCCGGATGACAGTTCTATTTCTCCCTTTTGGTTTGATGTCTCTTCTGTTAACCTTGTTGTTCTTAAGTTTTGATGTGTCTTCAGTTAGTGCAGTCACAGCGTCAGATATACAGAGCACATGTTGGTACATGAAAAATATTTAATCGAGATAAAACTTTTGAATAAAAATAATTAAAACTGGACTTTCGATCAAGATTTTTTTTTATTGTAAACAAATGATCTACAAGCAATTGTTATGAGCATCTGATCTTGTGTGACGTTGGGTTTCCGCAATAAATGGTGTAATGTGACCTTATTCTTCGTTTTCGTCCGGCGGTATTTGGGGTAGAAGGACGGTGTCCATGCCATGCACGACCCCATTACTGACATTGATGTCCCGGTAAGCAATCTTTATATTGTTCACCGAGGAATAGGCTGAAATGATTGACGCAAGTGAAAGTTACATACAGGTGTTACAAAATTATGAAGGTTAAAAGGTTACTCTATTACATATTATGCTATGTGTTATGAATATTTTGTATTTGTTTATTTATTTTTTATTAATTTATAAATTGAATTATTGTATTTTCTTTCTGAAACAGGCACAGAAAGTTTTATCCAATCTTCAGCTGTACATAGACAGAACAACACATCTTTTTAGAACTAAGATCATTTAAATTACATTACAAATTTAAATTATGGAAAATAAGGATGACCTTCAAAGATTCTGTCTATACAGTCATGTTTCACTAGGCGTCCATCAACCAGGAAACGGTAATATGTTTACAGTATTTGTATGCACAAGAATCAAAAAGCCATCTAGACTTCAAAGTCGAACCTTGAATAAAGTTCTGACACATATTTTTCCGGCAATTAAAATATTGTCTTAGATTGATATTCACAAGAACATGTTGGGGGCATATTGCACTAAAGCGTGTACTTAATGTTCCAAATGTATTATGTGAGAATCAATTACAATTTGATAAAAACACTAATTGCTATTTTGAGAAATTAATAATTTAAAAAAAAAGAATATTGATAACAAAATACCAGGGGACCGCTGTAGCGTTTACTATGAACCATTGATCATCATTCAAATAAAGAGTGAATTCCGTGTATCCTAATGGCAACAGTGAAATCGGTGTATCTTAATGGCAACAGTGAAATCCGTGTATCTTAATGATATACAGTACATTTCATAGGTTTCTAGTGTATATTTTAACCATGGTCAGAAAGATGGTATTTCTAAAGAGAGACTTATTAAATATACATTTCTGAGTGTTTATAAGATATTTTAGTGTAGGATTTATTGATGATTCCGGGACAAGGTCTTGTTGTGCTTACTTTCCGTAGTGTTAACGGCCACCCAGCCAAGGGACAATGTCTGTAGTAGATTTGAATATTGCTTGGCGAAGAAACCTTGAGTGAAATGTGTCCCTACGCAGATGTGGTATGTCAGCACCTCTGAAGAAAGAAGACGGATAAACATATCGTAAAAGACCTTAATAACTAAAATATTGACAGACAGATAATAAATAACCGAAATATTCATTGACTGACTGTCAAATTATAAAGGATAGAAAAACGTAAATAACTAAGTAATGGACAGAAGAATGGACATATCGTAAAGAACAAATAATTTAACAATATAAACAATATTTAAGGTCTGTACCATCCAAAGTCATTTTTATACCAGCAGTCTTTTTAATATTGCCTTTACATTTATTGTAACGCCATCATATTAGACAGTGATTTCTCCTAAAATGACAGCCAATAACTTCTAACACTATCCAATTAGACAACAGTTTCTCCAATATTGACCACCCATACCTTCTAACACCATCCAATTAGACAACAGCTTCTCCAATATTGACCACCCATACCTTCTCACGCCATCCATTTAGACAACAGTTTCTCCAATATTGACAGCCCATACCTTCTAACACCATCCGATGAGACAACAGTTTCTCCAATATTGACAGCCCATACCTTCTAACACTATTCAATTAGACAGCAGTTTCTCCAATTTTAACAGACCATACCTTCTAACACCATCCAATTACACAACAGTTTCTCCAATTTTGACAGTCCATACCTTCTAACAATATTCAATTAGACAGCAGTTTCTCCAATTTTAACAGCCCATACCTTCTAACACCATCCTATATTTCTCCTAAAATGACAGCCAATAACTTCTAACACTAGCCAATTAGACAACAGTTTCTCCAATATTGACAGCCCATACCTTCTAACACCATTCAATTAGACAACAGTTTCTCCAATATTGACAGCCCATACCTTCTAACACCATCAAATTAGACAGCAGTTTTTCCAATTTTAACAGCACATACCTTCTAACACTATCCAATTAGCCAACAGTTTCTCCAATTTTGACCGCCCATACCTTCTAACACCATCCAATTACACAACAGTTTCTCCAATTTTGACAGTCCATACCTTCTAACAATATTCAATTAGACAGCAGTTTCTCCAATTTTAACAGCCCATACCTTCTAACACCATCCAATTAGACAGCAGTTTTTCCAATTTTAACAGCCCATACCTTCTAACACTATCCAATTAGACAACAGTTTCTCCAATTTTGACCGCCCATACCTTCTAACACCATCCAATTACACAACAGTTTCTCCAATTTTGACAGTCCATACCTTCTAACAATATTCAATTAGACAGCAGTTTCTCCAATTTTAACAGCCCATACCTTCTAACACCATCCAATTACAAAACAGTTTCTCCACTTTTGACAGCCCATATCTTCTAACACCATCCAATTACACAACAGTTTCTCCAATTTTGACAGCCCATACCTTCCGACACCATCCAATTACACAACAGTTTCTCCAATTTTGACAGCCCATACCTTCTAACACCATCCAATTACACAACAGTTTCTCCAATTTTGACAGCCCATACCTTCTAACACCATCCTATTAGCCAAAAGTTTCTCCAATATTGATCGCCCATACCTTTTAACGCCGTTTTATTAGACATCAGTTTCTCAAACAGATCTGCCGGTAGCTTCTTGAAGGCGGCATCGGTCGGCGCAAATATTGTAAGTGGACCATCACCTGTCAAACAAAATCCAATACTTTATCAATAAATTTGTTTCTTTTTTTCATGACATTACGTTAGTGTTTTAATAGATAATCGCGACAGTTAAATTAAGTGTACCCACATTGATAAATTTGAAAGGTCTGCTTCAGTTGTAAATGAAGTTTATTTCTTCGACATAAACACGGAATGATATGCTGAATGAAAGTTACTCTATGCATAAGTAAATAGTTTAGAAGAGGAATTTTTCTCCCTCAAGTTCTGTTTGGAAACTATATTGAGTTTTTGACTTTACCATAAACTGAGCCAAGATGATATTATTCAAATTGGTATGCTGCAACCTCTAAACGAAACGAAAATGTTCTTTAGTCACAAATTATTAACAAAGATTAACAGATTATTTAGTAAAACTTTGAACCTTATATACAAACATCTAAAAAAAATATATTTTGTTTTAGAAAACTGCTTCTCACAAAATGAAAACAGTGTAATAAAAAGGGAAAATTGAAAGCACTTACTCCGTATTGATATCAAATTATAAAAAAAAAAAAATCTGAGAGATATGGTTATATGATTTGAGATACTATTGAAATTATCAATAGGTTTCCACTCCTAACAGATTAACCATTGGTAAAAAAAATCAATATTGTTTTCGGTATTATTAATCATAATTCCAAAATGGTGTAAACATCAACCATACTTGTCTTACTATGCTAATAGAGAAAGTGACTTATATCCACAAGACGTTCTGGATAAATTGCGTTAGGACTTTACTCAACGAGTTCAATGACCCTTTGTGTTAAATCTTTCTAGTCACCTTGTTTTTTTGCAGCGCGTTTTTGTTTTTGCATTTTTATATAGTATTTTGCGATGAACTTTCCACAGTGTTACTTAATTTCCATGGCGTCCTGAATTCAGATTTATAAATCTAAAATAATTCTCAATTTATCAGGAAAAGATTTAAGATTTATTATAATTAAAGCAGAAGAAAAATCGTTTCAGCCTAGACATACCAGATATTGTATATCCTGTAAATTTCGTATCTATTCAGACCGAAGTGTTTCAGTCTTGTTGACATTTACAACAAATTGTTAAAAATGGTTTAACAAACATAATTGGAAAGTAACATGCAAAAAATAAGTGCACTAGTATGTTATCAGATTGTTACGCTAAACATGACCATAACTATACACATATATCTTTTTAATCTTTCAAATTTACATATACAAATACACTCCATTAAACCTGTCACAAACTAACTTAAACTGTATAAGACAATTTTATATATATACATTTTTACCTGAAAAGCCCTGTGAAGAGTGAAAGCTAATAGTGTGAAGTCGGTCGTTTTATCATATTGTTTCTATACGTTTTATATTTACGGTTGTGTTTAATTATAGACAGTTATATATTATAATAATAAATCACTGTATCTAACGAGTGATGATATTTAAAGGCATTTGCATAGTTTATACTTCCCTACTCTCACTGAAAATGTCACCCTTGCAAACTTGTTCATAATAAATGTGTATGCAAATTTAAGAGAGTTATGATGAATCTTAGAGAGGTTAAATCAATTCTCATTATTCCCATGATTATTTATACATGAATAAACATGATTAGTACCAGCCACGTTATATCATGTATTCTCAGTTAAATGTGACAAATACGAACCTATAATTAGTTTATAAACATAGTTGTTTTGGCCATTAGAGGTAAATGTTTCATAATTTCTTTGTTGAAAAAAATGTGTTACAACATAATAACTTTCCAATATTGACACTACATAATATTTTTTTCTGACGCTAATTTTATTTTTAAATAAAATTCATTATAGTTCAATTCATTATCGGCCAGCTCGTGGATTCCTTCCTTTCCGTAAGTGTGTTATTTTCGCATGTAAAGAGTAAATGATATTAAGGTATACCGTCCAGTATGTCTGCGAGTCCTACATCTGTTACGCCTTTAGTTAGTATGGTCAGCTCTGGACATTTGCGTAACGCTGTCATTATTGTGCCGGGTGGGGGGAACAGGACGCCATTGAGCACGTGCAGAACGCCATTGTCGGCCTCGTTGTCCGCACTCAGGACAACCTTCCCACAAACAGTCGTAACCTGGTGAATTAAAGAAAAAAAATGATTTATTCGTTAACTAAAATATATTAAATGACATATTGCAAATACACCGTGCTGGAATAGTTTTGCTGCAAACATATAGTATCTGTCTATATGAACATTGGTTCTTCTCTCACCAGAGTTATGTCAGTATAATATTGTTCCAATAAGGTATTATACCTGACTGACTTCTCTTTACATAACTAAACATGTAATCGACTAGTATTTATCGAAGAACGAAGCGACTGTTTATTTGCACACTGAATTTTTCTCGAGGGAACATTGCTCCGAACATTATTGTACAGTCTACTTCGGGAACTGTTACTGAGAAGCATTTTACAAAGGAATAGCACACCTGTGTATTAACTTACTAGTACCTTCTTCCGAGGAAACTGTTATTTGTAGCATGGAGTATTGCAGTAGATTATTTGCACATTGATACTTTCCCCAGAAGGAAACCTTGCTTTTTGTACTTTTCCTTTTTTTGTCTACAGTTCCGTTCTATTTCTACAGTTTTAAGTTCTCCAGAGGGAAACAGTGCTGATATATGGCATCGCACAAAGGAGAACAATACTTATCCGGTTATGCATCGATATCCTCTCTTTAGTGATTACTAATAGAATGTAATTGTTCCAAGGTTTGGGTTTGGTTTGGTTTAATAATGTTTAATATCCCATCAACAGATAGGGTCATTTAAGGACGTGCATCAATGTTTGTAATGTATGTGTGCGGGAGGCAGGGTATGTTGATGCTTTTTCTTCCTTGCGATAGCGCAGATCTGATGCCGACTTTATAGTGCTATCTCACTGAAATACCATACCCAAAACACCCAGCACGGTATTCCATCCGAACACATTATACTGATAACGTTCAACATCAAAGCCAAATGTTAGGTATTGCCAAACAATAACAGAGATATATAAAATTCTAATTGTTCCAAGGCGTAAATCACATACCTATTTCTATATGATATTATACCTCTTATAAATACAGTACCTGCCTGTTTATAACACATATATCAGGTAACTAAAAATAATACATTGTATTTCTTATGAAAATAAAGTGTATTTGTATGCTCATTAGTGTATGTTAATGTTTCGTTGTCTCTATCCCGTTTCAAAATCTGAGCGCGTGGTATTTACTTTGATTGACATAGATTTACATGGCGGATATTTTCAATAAATCAGAAGACGCTTACCCTTCAGAAACGCCAAGTACCATGGTTCCAGATATATATGACATCCAATTAACACTCGTTAGCGGATCTTCTTAGTGTTACGCACGCATATCGAGCAAATAACGTGCCGATGAGTACAAACCGTGTTGGGTACCTTGCGTATGTGTAAAAAGCGTGATGAATACCTTGCTGGTGAGTAAATAACATGTTGAGTACCTTGCCGACGAGTTTCCATTGTTTGTACACGTCATACACGTTTATCCTGACAGACGGTCCATATATAGTACCAACCAACATGTCGTTCTGTGTCTCATTGTCAATCCTCAACTCCTCATTTAAAACGTGGTACAATAGTACGTTCACCAGCTCGGTCATATTCGTGTTTAGTAACTTCATAAGGTCGGGCGAGAGCTTGTCAAAGGCGCTGTTATTTGGAGCAAACATCGTCATAGGACCTGTGAAAGGAATACATGTTTGTTTGGAGTTTATATTTTTGCATCATCAACGGCCACATTAAGACATGTGTTATTGATCTGATTTCTTTGATGAAGTTAGATATTTAAAAAAAGGTACCACAAAGTCTACACACAAGGACAAAATCAAAACTAAAAATTGATTTAAAAAGCCAAGAATTGGATGAAAAACCTTAACAATGGGATGTAATAATGAACCCTCACAATAAACCAGAAATGAAACCACACGTCTCCTGCACTAAACATGATATCCGTCGTTGTGCCAACATCTCCCCTTACGCCGCAAAAACATTGTTTATACTAGTTTTGGTTCGGGTAGAAGCGAATCTATTTATTTTGATGACCATTTGTATGTTGTAGACGTGATTTATAAATATACACATGTATCTTTGTCGGACACATGCCTGTAAGATAGTGTTAAAGCTTTTTGGGCGTGTTTTTGTTAAAACGATGATGTTCTTTACTCAAAAAGAAGGGAGGTAGGTTAACCTCTAGGCAGCCATTTTTGCTTGAATCATCCTATGTTGTGGTGGCGTTTTAAGATATATATATTAACTATTTGAATTCCGGGTTTTGCTGTAAATGTAAAGGAAGAACAGTTAATAACGTTTTAACTTATGACTTCATAAAATAAGACATTTAGGACATTATACGTGACGTCATAAATTTAAAGATGGTGTCCTTCTAAAGATGATAACCTAACGGATGTTGTATGTATTAGTAGATTGTTTGAATTCGTTTCCATCTGATATAAGATTAATGTACATTAACCCAAAGAAGTTTATAGAGGATATGCCTGCTGTTATATACCTGTCTTATTTTCTTGAATAAAACAAAATAAAATAAAACGGTTACAGGTAAGTGCTTACCTGGTGCAGACAGGGGCTGTCCAAGACTCGCCACATTGATGAAGTTGGCAAAAACTGTAGCCCCGACATTGGCCGCCAGATCTGGCAGTTCTACGTCATACTTTCCATTAGCAAAGGATGCCGTGCAGAGCAGAAAGATCACCACAGTCAGGTAGGCCATGATGCTAAATTAATTCGTACACATATGTCATGTCTATTTATAGATACTTAAGATAACACATAGACGTCACAGATAGGTACATTGTTATCAGTCAGCCGTTTAAGTAGATAAATTGATAAGTTATATCAATAATTTTACAAATAGTTTGTCTTGAGTTTACAAAGCTGGAAAATATTCACGACCAAGCACAAATTAAATAATGCATTGCTCATCATTAGGGAAAATACTGTAATATATTACGCTTTTGTGTAGCCACCCACAAGAAAAAATTGAAGTACACTTTGACAGTTAACCTTTTTAGATCTTTAACTTTTGAAACATTTTTATAGTTGTTGTATACCAAACATTACCTTTAGTAATTGTGAAATTTACTTGTTAGATGTTTATTATTTTTTAACTTTAATAGTCTATATCTATGGCGTGCATCTTTAATCTATATATGCTATAATACAATTAAGAAATAGGTATTCAGAGACATTTGCGAGGATATTGATAAAAAAATAATAACGATTATTGTGTGTGTACTATCTCCCAGACAGACACGAAAAAACCCATTATAGTAATTGCTTTATGCCTGTCATCTACCAGATAGGTAAGGTATTGGTAAAAAATGGAATGTCCAGTGACTAATGTCCGTATTGTATCTAACAGATAATGACCGGATGTTGTAGGACTATCGATCATACCGGCATGAGAAATGACGTTCAATCTACATATATCTACATCTACAATACAGACAAGACATGAACGGAATAGAAATAATATCATACAGCTAACACTTTTGTAAACATGTCCTGTTGCAAACATTATAGTAAGATATATTTGTTGTTTAGCTAATATTTTACATTTAGATGTTTTAATATTTTGAATTTTAATAGTTGTGGTATAGAAAACATTTTTGTAAACTTTAATATATATTGTATAGCTAATATTTTACTAGAATAGCAAAAGTTTGTAAACTTAAATATTTATTTTATACGTTGTAGTTAATATCTTAGTAGTATAGAAAACATTTTTGTAAACTTTTATATTTATTGCAAAGCTAATATTTTAGTACAGTGTAGTATAGAAAACAGTTTTGTAAACGTGAATATCTATTGCATAGCTAATATTTTAATAGAATAGAACACTTTTTTGTAAACTTTAATATTTATAACAAAGCTAATATTTTGATAGACTTTGTAAGTTGTGCAGCTAACATTGTCGAAAAGCTCAAATATTTTACATAAACAGTTGTAACCTATTACTTAATCATTAATACTTTGTCGTTTAGCTAACGTTTTTAATTGAATGTAATAGTTGATATTTGATTATTTTTTAAATAAACTTTAATTGCTAACATAAAGCTAAATGTTTAGAAAAACAAAACCTTTAATCAATGGAAGGGTGTCTATAAGGACCTTTTTTGGGCCCGGTATATTCAGATTTTCACCTCCTTATTTTGTTCAAAGATGTCCTATTGTATGATATGCGGAAAAACTAAGGTAAAACTTTGACCGAAAGTGGGTTTCTGGGTGTACCAAAAGGGGTATGGCAAATCACAAATATAGTTTGCTGTTTTCAAAATGACCTTAAAAACCAAAATAATACCATTTCTGTTTTTGAAAACATGTATAAATTAGACAAGCATATGTAACGGAATGAAAAATGACAGAAATTCAATCGTCCCTTAAAGATTATTTATATAAAACGAAGGATTACGTCGGGGGGGTGGGGGGGGTGGGGGGGTCTTTTCGGTCATTTTCAATTGAAAAGTAATTTGTTTTCTCAATAATTTCCTTTCTAATTAATATTTTGACTTGAAACTTACAACTTTACTCATTTAAGTAGACTTACATAAAATGCGTATTGACAACATACTTTCCTTTTGTTTTATACTGAGTTATGGCTTCTGGACACATCTCAAACTTGGCAGTTTCAAATATCTCTAAATTTTAAGTGAATTAAAAGGAGCATGACACCCTTTATATGCTGTAAGTATAAGATGTCAATTGTTAATATTGTATAGTATATATATCATGTAATATTTGCTCAATACCTGTGTCAGAAGTGAGTTCCAGGTCCTGGTTTGTGTTTTTACTCAAAGTTAACTTACTAATCAAAAATGGCATTTGACATCACAATTATTGTAAAATTATTGATTTAATATATGAAGTTTGATTTGCTGGTAATTTTAAGTCTCCTAGCCTCAAGGAAAGTATCTGCTTTAATCGTTAAAGTTAACCGATTTCCTTGTTTTATCAAATAATCTGCCTATTTCCAATGTTTAACCGCTGATTGTACATAAAAGGCATTTGGAGATAAGCATGTAACTTGACATAGAGTGTATTTATATGAGGATATTATATTTGTGAAAGTTTCATTCTTATCCCACAATGCCTTTTTACTTAAAAACACATTTTCTTGTGATTTAGAGTACACGGACCAAAGTGCATCTCATTGCCTAACACCAAATATTTCCTGACAATACTAGTCTATATGAATGTATGTAGATTAAACAGGCTCAGTAGAGTATTTATAGTAGTAAGAGGGGCAATTGACATGCTACACTGACCAAAAGTCAGATAGTTTATGCTTTGAAAATGCAAAGAGAGACTAAGTTGTTCGTTCGAGTTAATGCTTGCAATTAACAGTTAATCATTTTGTTAATTTCATACGTTTTATTTGTTACATTCAATGCTAGCTGCTACTCATATTTTTTCTTAATTACTTTTCTTCCCTTTTTGTTACATTACGTTAACCATGCAATCAGTGTATGAAACAAATTAAATATCATCATATAACTAAACTCTATGCCAAGTTACATGCTTATTCCCAAATGCCTTTTATGTACAATCAGCGGATAAGCATTGGAAATAGGCAGAACATTTGATAAAACAATGAAATCGGTTAACTTTAACGATTAAAGCAGATACTTTCATTGAGGCTAGGAGACTTGAAATTACCAGCAAATCAAACTTCATATATTAAATCATTCATTTTACAGTAGTTGTGGTGTCAAATGCCATTTTTGATTTGTAAGTTAACTTTGATAAGTAAAAAAACAAACCAGGACCTGGAACTCACTTCAGGTGTTGAGCAAATATTATATGATATAAATAATATACAATACTAACAATTGATATGTTATACTTATGTCATAGAAAGGTTGTCATGCATCTTTTAATTCACTTTAAATTGAGAGATATTTGAAAAAGCCAAGTTTGAGATGTGTCCAGAAGCCATAACTCAGTATAAAACAAAAGGAAAGTATGTTGTCAATATGCATTTTATGTAAGTCTACTTAAATGAGTGAAGTTGTAAATTTCAAGTCAAAATGTTTATTAGAAAGGAAATTATTAAGAAAACAAATTACTTTTCATTGAAAATGACCGAAAAGACCCCCCTGACGTAATCCTTCGTTTTATTTAAATAATCTTTAAGGGACGATTGAATTTCTGTCATTTTTCATTCCGTTACATATGCTTGTCTAATTCATACATGTTTTCAAAAACAGAAATGGTATTATTTTGGTTTTTAAGGTCATTTTGACAACAGCAAACTATATTTGTGATTTACCATACCCCTTTTGGTACACCCAGAAACCCACTTTCGGTCAAAGTTTTACCTTAGTTTTTCCGCATGTCATACAATATAGGATATCTTTGAACAAAATAAGGAGGTGAAAATCTAAATATATACCGGGGCCCAAAAAAGGGCCTTATAGACCCCCTTTCTTTCACAATTTTAGCATTTCATTCGTTTACATTGTGGTTAAAACCCATCTGTAAGAATTAAAATAAAATAAAATGGTTCCGGAATTAATTATTTATCGTTTGTATTCTTTTGTTTAACGAGACCAGAGTATTTAGTACGCTTAATACTGGTGGCCGTTTAACTATAGAGAGTCACGGTCGGTTGATTTATTTGGTAAAACTTCTATTGAATTTGTAAATTCATTGCTGAGACAAAGACTCTATACCCCTACGCATGCTTGTTTAAAATGCCTTTATTTGATCTCTGAAGATAGGTGTGTGTAAGAGTCGTTACCGACCGGTGTCGTTATAAAGACAACATTACAGTAACGTTATAACATGATTAAACACGAGTTAGCCACTGGTGATCATAACCAACACTGTTATTAGAATTTCATCGTGTTCGTAAACAGACCTCAGTTTTGGATGTGACTAAGGCTTTTTGTTTTCTGACTCTTCTTGGAATACCCGCATCAGTGTTGTGTGAGAGAGATTGTCAACTGATTCTGATACAAACAGTGGCACCAGAGTTCAGATTTGTTTGACGGCGGCATGTCAAAACCTCTCCGAAATGTACACATTGTGTTTTGGACGATTTTCATTGTACTACCTATACTGTTTATATTTAGCAGGTCCGTTTTTTTGTTGTATACGCCAACGCGCTACGCAACAAGTAAGTATACAAGCTACCTTTATAACAAGATCAAACAGTCTGAGCACTAGTTTAACTAATCTTTGTCTCATCGATCAATTTGTTATTAAATCGTCATATCGGTAAATATGTTAATTTTGGTATTACAACATGCTACAACAGCCGGTTTAAGATTTGCTGTCCCACTACAAGCAAACATTTAGGAAAACGTACATGCAGTAGCCTCTCCTTATTTTCGTTTGGGATATAACTGTAACGCTTCATGGCCAGGGTACATGTACAACCGTTGGCTAGACAGACATTTTTTTCATCTTTTGTTTATTGTGTAAAGTATGCTCTTCTTTTCAGGACTGGTTTTATCAAAACGATAGATATGCCTGTTGGGTTGTTTTCTAAAATCTAAATGCAACCAATTTATCAACAGTTTTTACAGTAGTTAGTGGACCCTTATAGCATGCTGTTTATTTTATGTCAATCCTTTAAATGATATATTGTCCTTTTCTACAGGATTGCACACGAAGTCACCGGAAACTCCCAATATAATGTTACATATGCCACAGGCTACCACTAGATCGGAGTCTGATATCATGATAGTCGGGTATATCCGCGGAGGGTCGACTTTCCTAGGAGAACTGATGGGGGTTCGTAAGGGGAGTTTTTATCTCTACGAACCCCTGTTTAGCCTCAGTAAACTTGGTTACTTCAAACCGGGGTACCATTGTAATACTATGGACACCTACTGCACGTAAGTATAATGAAATATTTTGTATATTTATAACCCTGTGAATAAAGATAACGGACATCCTTTAGCTTACCCGATAACTGCATGATAACCTCACACAAAACCGTTAATCCGGTTTCGTATCATTAATCCGGTTCCATGGTTTGATACCACGTTAAGAACAACGGGAATACATAAAGCTTTAAAACAATAACAGTAGCAGGTCAAACAACTTAAAAATACCAAAAGGACATTTGCTCTTAGTTGGCCTCGTTTTCGGTCTGTAGTATGGTCATTATGATTGTCAATATATGGACCTCGGGTTGATTTGAGATTTAGAATTAAATTAAAGTTTATCTCGGAAGGTAAAGAAACACAGACTTTTACCTGTTTTCCAACAAATGTACTACTTGAGTCCAAAAGTTGTGTACAGGTCATAAAAACATTTTATTAAATATAATCATGACTTTTTCAAATACATGTACATTGCACGATTGAACCATTGTTTAACCTATGTTGTGTATTAGCTAAAAATTAATCAGAAATATCATTTCATAGTATTTCTCCTATAGTTACCATAAGGAATATGTATTTCATTGATATACTGGTAATAACAAACATCATTATATTCGTAACCATAATTAAAACCGTACACAAGCGTTGTCATTGAAACACTTAAATATAGGTCCAGCATTATCACGAACTGGCTTAAGAAATATTATGCATTTGGCTAAATGTATTATCGGTATCTTGTGATAAATCTGTCCGTTGATACAGAGGAGGAACATGATATTACAAATTTACTATTAAGTTATTATCTTTCCTCTAATTTAACCTTAGGAAAAGACCTGTGATTCATAGATATTAATACCGGCCTATTAATACGGGATCTGTGGGAGTAGACTGTGTCCAGCTTTGTATGGAATTTTAAGTACGTGCATTTTATCTCCGACCCCCAGGACTTTTCTTTCGTTTATCTTGTGTAAAGATTATTAAAATACGAATAAATTAAAAATATATGATTTCTTTTCCTGTGATCGTGGGACTTTATCACAAATATATTGGGAATGAGGCTTTAACGTTTATCTTGGGGAGTTTGAGATTGAATAATCGCGACGGGGGTCTTTTTCACATTAAAGCTTGGATCATTGATCTTAAGTAAATACGTAAATTGCTAGTTTTGTATACCAATTATTAATTTCTTACGAATATTCGCTAGTAATTTTGTTTTTGGGAGGGGGGATCGGTAATTTTAAGTTGTTATTTTAATAGAAAGTGACAAAAACAGAAAAACGGAAAAACCTACTCAAAACGTAGGTTGTATACGTTATCATGATCTAACAATCAGCATTAACCTGGTTTCTAGTCAGTGTCCTAGTCCTGTCATACGGACCAAACTTGTTTATTTAAACCTGGTAAGTGATGCCGAACCGGGTGAGCAGCATTTTACGAATTTCATGAACCGGATAAGCTAGGTCGTAGATTGCTGCATGCTTCATAAAAACGATTCTTTGATCTTTTCTAGTGTAACTCTTCGTCGGTGAACAAGAGTACTTTCACACAAGGAGAGAAATATATAAATGGAAACAAAGGCTGTTTATCCATTTAAATGGTATAGCTTGTATACAGATGTTGGCTGATAGAATAAAATCGTGTTTACAGTAAAATGTAATGAAAATCTTACAATTTCTAAACCCGATATATATGCAACTTTCACACCAATGAACTCCCGCTGACCAGACCGGACAGCTCCCTCGTATGCGTCACTTCCGCTTGCTTGACGATACACCTTAATTACAATATTTTCTTGTATATGTATACCAAGTCTAACATTTCATCGCAGTATAATTGTATATGAGAGATAAATCGGTCACCTACTAGTGGATGTGTATGTGTAATATAATGCATTACTTATATCTACTTGCCGACATATGTACCTCGAAATTTCTATGTACGCTTGAGAGATACACTACTTATTATGTAGATATTGTTCTCCGGTATATTGTGACGTGTTGCCGAATCTACATACACATATGAGAATGTTACCATATCATCATTTTTTATGTTGGGAGGAATGTAGGTAGGAGTTATACCGTATCTTATTGCAGAAGTCGATCTGCCAATGTGTCGTTTTAAATTCACGGTGAGGTGCTCTGCTGAAAGGGACATTGTGTAGGCGATCGTACCTTAGATGTTTATTTGCACAGTTTCGGGGTTTTTTTTTGCCTAGGAATTCGACACATGATGCCTATCTGTTTGTAGTAGCGCTTTGACATTTGAAAGATGTCTCTAAAATGAAACCGGATGTTCTACTTTGTAGCAGTTAGAGCACGCACAGACTATCAAACTACAATGAATGCCAATGAATGTTATACGACTACATTTGTTAGGTAAAACAGCTGAATTATATTTCCCCGAAATGTTTGGGAAGCACAAATAACAGGAAGGTCTAAATATTTCCCTTTTTAACTTTTTTTGTCAAACTGACTCGGTGATTTTGAAATAGGAAACTTTATTTTGAATTATACTTGAATAAAAACTTGTGATACCTGAAATCTTGCATATTTGATCCTTCTGCTGTTTTTTTCTATATTTAAGGGTGGCTTCCGTGTTATTTTATATCTGTTTCATGACTACCGTGATAATGTTTTATTATGATAAGTTTTTATCTCTTGTCTGGTGAGTAACTACTTCAAAACGTCTATTTCAAGCGGATTAGTGTGTGTTTCATACGTTTCACTTTATATGTTGGCAAAGGAAAAAATATTCAATAATAAATTAGATTTGAACATTCCAATCTTTTAGCAACAACAATAACAACAACCCCAACTTTCAGAATAGCACAAAACAATCAGAATTGTTTTATCTGTACTCTTCTCACCAACGCTAGCTGTGTCATAGTATGTAAATTATCAATACTGAATACGAGATATCAGGAAGCGTCAAAACCATCTAAAACTACAAATTTATATGATATTTAAAAAAAAATCTTATTACATGTAATACACTATCGGGTTTCTTTTTTTTAATTCATCATCTTCAAAATTTCTAATCATAGATTGCTAACAATCTGTTCATGTTCATATCCCCATTTTCTTTTTCAGTCAAGCAAAAAGAATCGATATGCATGCTCTCGGTGTTCTTAAATCCATCTACAGCTGTGATTTTCGACTGTTGGAGGACACAATATCACTTTGGAGTTTCGCCAAGGGACGTGGAGACTTCAATTGGACTAAGTCACTGAAAGACTGTAACGGGCGGCTGCAATATTGCTTCGACAAGCAAATACGCCGCTGTGAAAACGCTACATCAAGAGTTACCAAGGTCGTGAGAGTTACGGTAGGATTGGTCGGCAGAATGCTTGAAAAATATCCTAATCTAAAAATTGTGCATCTAATGAGGGATCCACGAGCTGTGTTACATTCCAGGATGGAAATATGGCCATCTAATACCAAGAATACGCTAGAGACAGCCCGCAGTCTGTGTCGGAAAATGAAGGAGGATTACATGGATTCGAAGCAATTGTTGATTCACCACCCTAACAGAGTTCGCACCGTGTTTTATGAGGATTTGGCAATTGAACCGATTAAGGTCACGAAAGAGCTATATAAATTTGCAAATTATGATTTTACTTATGAAGATGAAAGGAGAATAAGAAACATGACCGGGTCTTATTCAATCGAAACAAAGGCAAATCGAAAATGGGGTTTATTCAAGCAAAACTCGAGTGAAACTGCCCGAAAATGGCGATTGACTATTCCTCCTTCCGTTGCCCTTCTGACCGGTTTGGGATGTTCTGAGATTTATGATCTGGCTAGATACCCAGAGCTGAAGGACAAGACAGACCTAAGAAACACAAGTATACCACTCAGACTCCCAATGAACCCAAAATCTCTCCTCAGTGACTATCTGACACATAACGGTCATGTTTGAATATAACAATGTTATATTTCCCTCGATTATTATTGTTATTTGGACATGCATTTCTTGATGTATGCGTAGCACTTAATGGAAAAAAAGTGATTAAGAAAAATGTGGAAACAATTTACTTCGGCACTTCGTTTAAAAAAAAAAAAGAGTAAAAAGGGTTATCAGGAAAGTCACTTTCTCATTTCGAATAATCAAACTGGTGCAAGAAAACAAAATTCATGTTAGATCAAATATGAATAATGTGTTATAAAATGTATATATAACAAAATTGTCAACACAAAAGAACGAAATTTACAACTTCAAAACCCGAGAACAAAATATACCACAGCATTAACACACAAAAAATATATACCACAGCGTCAAAACAAAATATACCACAACGTCAACACACGAGAACAAAATATACAACAGCGACAAAACACGAGAACAAAATATACCACAGCGTCAACACAAAAGAACAAAATATACCACAGCGTCAACACAAAAGAACAAAATATAACACAGTGTCAACACACGATGACAAACACACAGCTTTAAATTATACAGTTGTGGGATCGCACAACGTTACACGATGTGCGGTGTGCGCACGATGTGTGCACGGTGTGTGAACGGTGTGTGCACGATGGGCGAACGATAAAAAGCTGAACGATCATTGCTTGCGCACATATGTGCGCACGATGGACGGACGTTGTGCGATAACAATCGTGGTTGGTGTAAATTGAGGAATGCCTTAACAATTTATACGGTTTCGTGTTTAAACATATAAACTTGATTTTTACGTATGTTTCTATATTCTAGCAACATCTATAAACTTATCTTTCTGTCTATACATTCTTATATTTAGAAATTCTGTTTTCTGTGTTTTTAAACAAATTTAATCGACACATGTAAAATTACAACATAATCCCGTATACAGGTAAACATAACCACTTTGTACATGTACCTGGACCATAGTTTTCTCCCCGCCTGGGGCACTTACGTAACTCGTCGGGTAAGGCCGGGGTGTGAAAATCCAGGTGAAGGGGAGGTATAGGCAAACGAATGCAAATAACAAATACTATTCATTACGGTCAAACGGTATCGCCTATCAGCTCTGTGTGTCAGGCACTGGTCAGGTAAAACTCCGGACACTCATAAAATTGTTATTTGCCTGTTCTGTTACCTTGGAGCCAAACCCATTCTTGACAGCCTAACGGTCGCTGTAATACTGTGTAACAAGCTTTGTGAAATTGTATAATCTTGATTATTGTGATGAGAAATTACAGATATTTGCACAGTGTACATTATCGCATACGAGCCTTCCGTATTTTTGTCATTCCGTAATTTGATCTCCAAATGATACCAAATCGCACAGTTGTGCGGAGAGAAGCGCACAACGGTGCGAACGGTTGCTAAATCGCACAGTTGTGCGCACCATGTGTGGACGATGTGCGGACGGTGTGTGAACGATGTATGCACGGTGTGCGCACGCTATTTTTGGTGCGTTGTGCGGTCCCACAACTGTACTTGTTACAAATGTAAGTAAGATTTTAATTAAGATATGAGTAAATATTGAAAATAAAATGGAAATCCCATTTCTGAGAGAAGTACTTCTTATTAAAAAAGTTATCTGTGAATCAAACCACCAGTATAGAGACTTTCCTTGTGATGGGAGGATACCAAATATCCATAGGTATCCACCTACACGTCGAACAGGTAAGTAAACTGCCTCAACAATTGAAGATGAAGACTGCGCATGTGTGACACATACCTCAATTGTAAGTTATGATGTCATATAATCTTCTCCCACGAATCATCAACAACTATTTTTTCAACAAAAGAATTCTAATAGTTTGTTAACAAACATAAGTCGACCACACAGATGCCTATAACTGCCTTTGCCTTCTTCTTTTTCAATGATGATTTGATGCATAGCATAATTTTTTGTATGGCATTTGTTTTGCACTATTGACACCGTTAACAATTGCGGCTTTAAGACCGCAGATAGAAAAAAAGTTTGCTTTAAAAGGCATTGTGATTTCGTCTTTTTTTTCTTTTTACGTACATACATATTCACTTGACACATATTGTCGCAAATGTAAACTATCTGAATGTAAACAAAGCACAAAGATGTACAAACATTTCAATAAGAGTTTATTAAAATTATATCAACATTATTAACAGAAACAAAATGAGATATATTCTAATATAACTTTGTGAATGGAATAATAATAGTACGTAATATTGATAACAAAGCTTAAACAATGAGGCCTGTTGTATTTTGTATAACGAACTGTTGTGTCGTTTTACGTGGCAATAAAGTTCGGTTTGATAACCAAGAAGTATCGTCTTAATGATTGGAGAGATTCCGTGATATGATTGCTGCTCGTTTTTAACGCTAGAGCACTCTCCTGACAAATATATTTGCTTTTAATACTGGAGCGAGGAATGATCCTATTTCAGATTGGCGTTGAACACTGAGGCGGCCCAGTGAAGTTAGATTCTTGTTGATCTTTTGGGGCGGCCCATGAAAGTGAGATTCTTGTTGAAAATTGGAGCGGCCCATGAAAGTGAGATTCTTGTTGAACATCGGAGCGGCCCAGGAAAGTTATATTCTTGTTGAACACCAGAGTGGCACACAGGAAGGTTGTATTCTGATTGAACAGTGGTGCGGTTTCTTGACAGGTCTGCTCAATTTAACATTCCCTTTTAACAGTGAGGCGACGCCGAGCCAGATAGATTTGCTTTACACTGCAGCAACCCCCTGATTGTTAGGTTCGCTTGTAAACTGAAACGGTCCCCTACACAGGATCGGCCCCTTGAAAGGTTAGCTCGTCTTAAACACGGCTGCAGCCCATGGCATGTCAACGACTTTTAAACAAAGAAGCTACTCAGTGACAAATTTCCTCGCCTCGCACACAGATCGGCATTGTAACAGTTGAGTCGCGTTCAATATTTGAGCAACCTGTGACAGATAAACTCGTATTAAACACTGGAGCGGCCCCTTGATGAGTTGACCGGATACAGTAACTGTACGTGCGACAGTCGCGCTATCTGGCGGCTTCCTCTTAGATTTTGTTGCTGCAGAAAGTCGTTTGAGTGACGAGCCTGGAGTGACTGTGGTTTAAGACCGGCGTGTTTGTAGTAATACAGGAGCATGTGAAGGTCTGTGAACGTCTCGCCTTTGAAAATGAAATATGATAACTGTCCATTCTCCTGAGCTACGTATATGGCATAGTGGATCAACTTTCTCAAGTGACTGAAAATTTAAAAAAAAACATAAATATCTACATAAGTTTACTGAGTATTACATTCTAGAAAGAAAGGTCGTCAGAGAGAGGGAAATTATCAGAGGAGTATTTTTTTTTTATAACATGTTCCTTCATTAAATATTTGATTTAAAATTGATTGCAACACAAGGTGTAAACCAAACTGCCACTCTACCTCAAAATCGATGAAACCATGGCAAAATTTGAACAAAGCAAAGGTTTACAAAGAAACTATTATAAACACAAGAAAAACAATCCAGGTATCCCGAAAAGGTGAGCTATTTCCATAAACTACAGAACTCACATGTGAAGTATGTTTGGTTAAATTGTGTGGATGTAGGCTGACGACAAAATAGAGTAAACAAATCCATTTCCCTATACATTATCAATGCTTAAGTTGTTTGTGCTTTAAAACGAATGTTTAAAATATAATTTCCTGGAAATATCAATTACTGCCTTTTAATAAAACGATTTGTACGCACCCACATGATGAGCCTCCCGGGTTTGATACGATAGATGTAGCAATCCTGTATAATATATACACAACTATGTACCTATTGACAGGAGAACTTATTAACGTAGTTCAAAGAAGTCACGAGGTGTAAAACGTCAAAACCGATAATATTAACCACGATTAAAGTTTCTACGTCAGAGAGAAACAGATACATATACCTGTGTATATTCCCAGAACTCGTATGTATCTTTATCATCCTAGATCCGGTATCAATCACACGCTAACACTTATATTCAATAAATGACATGTGTTCCGATGAGATACATACCTGTCAACGAAGACTAAATATGTCAGCCCGAAATTGACGCCTGGATAAACCGCTGAAATATTTACCTATGACTATATATGTCTATCTTACACTGGGGACTATATATTGTTTCATACCCGACACTTACTTAATACTACAGAATTGTTTAATACATTGTTTCATACGGACTCCTTCATCACATTATAAACAACATACACCTAATGGGACTGAAGAAAACACACTCCGACATGACTCTAAAGAATAATAGAATTTTCCCTACCAGATACTTAAATGTCCAGCCCAAGGATTTGCCAAACAACGGGAGACAACGAACTACGTGTACATTGTACTATAGACAACAGACCCCGACATGACATTAAGGACAACAGATGGTACTCCTTACCTGACACTGAGTACCAAGGTCTTCTTTGAGGTCATGTACCACAACAGATAGTGCCCATCGGAATTTAGGTAGCGGCTCATCTTATTCTCCACCTGTCACAGTTATAAACAGTTACTACCGTGCCTGATTTACACTCTTCATTCTATTTTTATCCTTTATAAAAACAATTAACTGCATGGCTTAGTCGCAATACTTGAGTGCTTTCTGTTCCGGCATATAAATGTTTTAGTGTGTGCTACATACATCGTATGGCTATTGGTTATTTTACGTTACAAGTTGGTTGACTGGTGGACTATCAGTACCCGAGTTTAGCCGTAGTCTTGTAGCAAGACTTCAATGTGGTACGTCTTACATGAAATACTTGTTGAAGAATAAAATATCTGTTTTTAGCGTAAAATGTTGTAAATTTGTTACTTTATAAAGGGTTCAATAGGTTTTTGTTAATTTGTCAAAACACACTAACCATTTCTACATACATTTTACAACACTTAAGCCATTTTTATGTTCATTTCACAACACCTTAGCTATTTCTACGTACATTTTCCAACACTTTAGCCATTTCTTATTACGTTTTACAACATTTTAGCCATTTCTTTGTATATTTCACAACACCTTAGCTATTTCTACGTACATTTTCCAACATTTAAGCCATTTCTTTGTACATTTCACAACACTTAAGCCATTTCCTTGTACATCCATGGATTTTCATTCTTTTGACTTTAAGTACCAATAGTGACAGAAAAAACAGTAATTAAGTTCTTTACTTCGTATTTTCGGTTATCATTTCAACAATACTCACTGTGTTTTCATGTTCCTTCGGATGCCATTCAGGATATCTCTGTAACTCCTTATTAAGATGTACGAACTTAGAATCTACGGCTGAAGACCTGCTGCTTGGGTAGGGTGCCGGTCTGTTCCGTGGAGGGAGGGTTGGGGGTTTGTCCTCACGAGTGGATGAAATCTGTTGACATCTGTCGACCTTTCTGGCCGGTAATGCAGGTACTGCTTGCTTCTGTGTAGATTTAGGAAGAACGTCGTTTCCAAGGTTTACCATTTCGTGCGTTTCGGGAAGATTGTTTCGAGATGGTAAAATATTGTCCCTTACACTTTCCGTCATACAATTTTCCCTACCACATTGCGGTACAATATTTTCCCTGTAATTTTGCGGTACAATATTGCCACTGCCACTTTGTAGTACTACATTGCCACTGCCACTTTGCGGTACAATATTGCCATTACCCCATTGCGGTACAGTATTGTCACTGCCACTTTGCGGTACGATATTGCCACTGCCACTTTGCGTTACAATATTGCCACTACCCCATTGCGTTACAGTATTGTCACTGCCACTTTGCGGTACAATATTGCCACTACCATTTTGCGGTACAATATTTTCCCTGCCATTTCCTTGTATCTGCAGATGTGGACTCATTTCATGATTCGTATTCTTGAAAACCTCTTCGGAGTGTTCTATAGGACTTTTGTGCTGACGACAAAACATGTCTCCGACGGTTCCAAGATTGGGCCCGTGCATTACTTGTACGGCATCGAATCTGAATCGAGACATGTTTGTTTCCTTGTAAGTCATGGTTTCCCTATTTAAACGTTGATATGATGATGTCGTATCGGATATTGAGCGGGTCATGACGTGGGGATGCAGCTCCGTCACATTTTCAGTATCGTTTTCGATTGTTATGTCTTCCGTGACCACTCTCACTACTGCTTGGGTGTGGAAAGGTGATTTCACGAATGTCTCATTCAATATGTCGTCGTCATAGTAACCATCTAAGTGTCCGGAGTTTGATGACACGTTTGGAAAGCTTTTATACCCAGAAGTCTCCGAAGACATTTTGTACGTTTCAGGCCTGTCATCAATCTGTTTAACATCAACGTCCATATCTGTAGTAGAGGACACGACATTTTCATTATTTGAACCGTCACTCAACTTTCGACTGCTGACGTCACAGCCTCGTTCTGTCCTGGTGACATCACATGATATGTCTGTCCTTTGAGTGGTCAAGAGCTGTCGTTCTCTACCGGAGAGGGACACACCTCCAATCACTGATATGTCACATGTACAACTACGACAATGCAAGCCGGACTCTATTTTCCGTCCAATGATGTTATTGTGCTCTTTATCCGCTTGTGAGTGAACTATTTTCTGAAATATATAAAATCAAGTGCGCAATGAAAATACAATAACATTTTTGATGTAACAATCTTCATTTACAAAAATTGAATAAGAAACAACGCCTTATGCTATTCATAAACAAATTAAAGAAATGTTTTATCCATTATTTCAAAAACACGATGTATTTCCCTAAGTTATTATATAACAATACAAAATTATTCATTCATTTATTCATTTTTCATTATATATCACAAAACATTCATAAAGAAATGTTTTACAATTTACCTGTGTGAATGTTCTGAACTTGCCACAATACATGCATTCTTCCGACACGTAATCTTTGTGGCCCGGACAGTTTTCTAGACGACGTTTTTCATCACCCACTGAAATGCTTTGTCCGTTTCGTGAAAAGGTGTGATTTTCTGGGCTAACGTTCAACTGATCTGGTGATACGTTTCTCTCCTTCGAAGTGATGCTCTTTTCTTGACATGTGATTTGGTGGTTCCTATGTCCAGTCAACAGATTATTAGGATCTGACAAGTTGTTCTGTTGCCCCTGACAGCGGAAGTGAGTGCATTCTTGGTATGATGTCAAGGAAGAGCCAATATTGGATCGCCTTTGTCGGCGAACGGACAAATGCATGCCCTGAAATTGAGGAAAATATAAATAAGCTACACCTAAAGTAATGTAGTAAATGTTGAATACAACACACATAAAAACAAAACATTAAAATGATGTTCATTGCCATTATGTTTCTCAAGAAAAATGAATGTTTACAAGCCTAAAATTCCATTTAAATATAATATATTACTTTAAACTGATGTGCTCTATCTGTCCACGAGGCACAGATCTCGTAGTCCTGCAGCTCGCCGCCAAATACGTTCTCAAGGCTATCCTTTAGTGTCGCCTGGCAACGGGTTGGCACGGTGAGGAAGTATGGTTTGACTGCGTCAGGATTGACTGTTTCGTCTGTTATCTTCAAGTGCAGCTTCATGGAGAGTAAATCTGAAAGTGTGGGCAAAGAAGTTAATATTTATTAATGAAACAGAACTAGCTGATTTAAAGCATGTTCTTTTATTTATACCTTTCTAGTGAAAAAAGGCATTAAGCATTTTACTAAACGAAATATGTTGAAATGGAACTCTAGTAATGAAAATTTAAGACTTTTTAATTGATCTGAGAAACAATAACAAAACTGACGTATATCGCAACCCATTTATCTGAAATGCTGATGTAGATATGACAAAAGCGTAATTCGAATTATAAAACAATCAAAATAGGGTTAACTATGAACAAAGGAAAAATTATCACGGAAACCCTTGAAAAGGTACAAGGATAATAGGACCAGGCGTTTCAGAAAGGTAAGCGTTTTGTGCTTCACCAACGACACTCGCCATGTAAATCTAGGTCAAATGAAAGAAATGGCAGGTCCTCATACCGAGAACTTGGGTAGTGACACCAACACATCAAGGCACACAAATGAGTCTGATACAAATTATCGGCCTTCATTTAAACATACTTTTTATTTCTTGTTCCAGAAATGCAACACAGTCAAACCGACCGCATTGTTTCAGGGACTCCAATAAGACGTATAACGACCGCCCTCTTTCTTGTTTTGTCCAATCTCTGAGCACTAGATAACCAGGTGGTTTATACTCGGCAGTTGATTGGTGGTCGAACTCGTCAATCTTGTCTCTAGAGTAGCCCATGATTTCGGCGAGACTTGCCCAGTTACCTCTCGACGTGTTTTGTAGCTTCAGTGAGAGCTGGTACAACACCTGAGGAAGAGAATCCTTTATTTAGTTCTCCTTACAATAACTTCACAAACACGTAGCTATGACAACCGTGTTGATGTCTGACTCTTAAATTACAAGGTATAACCAAACCTAAGCAACCAATAACAAACCTGTTTTCAATTTCGATAAAATCATTCTATCCGTTTTTACAGTCCCATAATGATGTCCAGAATGGTTTATAAATAATCTTAAAATGTTATATTTGTATTCCCGTTTTAGAATTAAAGCCTTTTCTTTAAACCTAATGCACTTATAGAAGACATTCTGTTCAGTAGTTCGGTTACGTAAGGTATATCGCTGCACAGGCAACTTGTCTAGTAAGCCATTCATGGCTTGACACTTTTTGTACAAAGTTCAACCATTGATCTGTTGATTGAAGTTTTTTAATTGTACATAATGTGTTTCATATCTTATTCGTCAATCACGTGATGTAAGCAATAGCAGTTTTTTTCCAAACTATAATTTTGCTTCAATTGTTTTCTCACGACTAGAACAAGGAAGTAAATGTTAACAATCTGATGAATAGAAATCGTGTTCACAAACCGTTAAGTCGTTTACCAGGCCAGGTCATGTAAATGTTGAAAAACTAAATACATGCGGTTTTAAATTTTGTTTGAGATGGAGTAAAAGAATAACCAACAAGTGTACACAATACTTCAGGTCACATCTGAGGCATGTCGAATACAGTTATGAAAGGATAATGAACAGCATATCATTTAAGTGTGTTTAAAATAGGGCGTCTTTTATCTCCTCTTTGTAACCGATTGAAAGAAAAGATTTATATAATCTGGTCTACTGCCAGTTTTTCGGTCAGCACAGTGTCTAGTTTTCAATTAGTGTGGCGCTTTAAGTAAATACAAACCTATAACAAGCCAATCAACGATACAAACTTAAGCAGTAATACACGTGCAATCTGACACGCATGGAGATATTGAGGGGATTATATGTAGTTAGAGTTAGATATGTTTGAGCAAAGCTACCTTTCCATATTTTGTGATAGTAACATCGGTTTCTCATCCATTTGATAGATGTTAAGCGCTTTAGAGTAATACTTCGGGATAAGAATAGGCGCTATACTTATGTACATGTATACCACAATATGTTAATGTTTCACTATGAGCCTTTCACCTCTTTGTTTCATTTGTCAATAATGTTAAAATAATTCTATTTATGGTTACTTTCACCGGGTATTTAATTGTGTAAACTAACTGTAAAAGATGCTTGGCATAGATATTAAGTTTTTTTGGCATAAATATTTCTAAAACTCCAGACCAATGTACTCCTTTAAAAACGTGTGTACGTGTCTTTATATTTTATAACTTTTAAAGAGATATATACGAATGACATTTTTATTGCTATCGCCTCAACCCAGTTTTTTAATAGGTTAATGTATCATCCTCATGTTACCTGAAGTAGCAAAATGTATATGTTTGACTATTTGCGGAGTTCTGAAATTAATCAATTCTGTCATAAGTACAGTATAAAATTACGCAACAATGTTCCCGTTCGCTCCGCGTTCGTTACCACTTTCAAAATTGCGATACATCATCATATTGCGAAATATGTTATCCAATACGTATTTCATATTTATAGAAACTAATACCTGTTTTATTTTTTATCTTACATTCCTCTAAATATTGCTATTTTAACTATGTGTCCATCTTACACTTTGGATACGATTAAGAAGGCAAACGTTTCCAACATTTTGAATTCAATAATTATCTTACATGTATATGTGAGACAATCAAAATCTTAACATACAACTCAAGAAATACAATTTGTAACTCAACAAAGACCAATATGAGTACAAAATAGTCAGCAGGATAAAAAACGGTTTTTTTTTTCTTTTTCTTTTTAAACATTTCTACTGTACGAAATGATGAGCCATATTTATTTTCTTATAACCCTCCAAAATCAAGATTCGAATTAATTGTATAATCAATTTAAGTAATGTATACATTGAAATACATAGCAATACATAAACATGCAATACATATAAGAATTCAAAAAACATCCAAGGGCCGCCTGTTGGTTGAATATAAAAGAAACGGAACAAAGAGTTTCTTATTAATATCTTAGTACTTTCACAACTTATGTTCTCAAGCTTCTTAAGAAACGCATCCCCTGATTATCCTCTACTGAGATGTAAGTACTAGGGAATCATATTATAGCTATGGAACGCTTTATGTTATTGATGGTATAACACATACAGGTATTCATATACATTATGCATTATGTAAATATTCAGAGTGATTACGTCTAAAGGTAAAATAAAAAGTATTTCCACGAATTAATATTACGTCATGTTTGGGTGAATTCAGGCATAATTTAATTGACAAAGGAAGCTAATTGCGTTTATATGAATAGGCGTGTAGATAACACAACTCATGTAGATAAAAACGTTTACAATTTACCACACATACATATCCTTAAAAATATTTAAAACATCACTTAACTGAAAAATGATGAAGTTGCAATTATGCAAATGACACATATAAACAATTTATGACATCCTAAAAAATGAACTATTTGACATTTTTTTTCTTACTTCTAGAGTCAACTCCTTGGCTGGTCTGTCCAATTCCTCGTATGTCACCTGATGTCGTATGCCATGCTGACAGTCGTGGTTCTGGCCTGGGATCTGTCCTATGCCTCGCTGACCGACTTGACCAAAGTTAGGTACCAGTGAATCCATGACGAAGTCTTTAGACGATTTCTAGTCATTCAATAAATTACTGTAGTTGTAATATTTGTCGCTCTGTTATATACAGTATGTGTATCGTATAACCCGACATATACGTTGTGATATCCGATAATATTTGTTTTGTAGACTTTTATACAAGTTTACGTTTCTGGCCAAGCTTAATTGGTATCACAGTATCTTATGTCTTTTACAACTGAACTACGTGTATGATAGCCCAATCTCCAACAGGCGTGGTTATGATATAACTGCAGCTAAACATTCCTCGTATTAGTAATCCACGAGCTAATACGTTGTACGTTCAGACTCTTCGATCACTGAACACTATACTGTACTATCCGGTAGTATGTCAGTGTCCTGAAAGTATGTCACACTTATATGAAGACACACGTGATGTTCCCTAAGTTCCCGCGGGTTTCTGAGGTACTATCAAACATGTACCAGTAAGCATATGTGTTGACGGAAGATGTCTTCTTGTGTTAATATTGCGGTCATCCTTGACCTTGTCGGCGCATGCTCATTGGCTGGCGTGGTCATGACGATGTGTTTTACCTGGCTGGCGGCCCCCTTACCACCAGGTAGTGCGTTCACTGATGCAAGTCTTTAGTGACAGTAATTTGCATACAGAGACGTGGCCTTACTCTGTATTTGATGTATGTAAAATTCTGATTTACTCATTCCATGTTTAAAGGTCATTTGAATTAGTATTCAAGGCGAAGCGGTATACAGATTTATACATATGGTATATATAGATGAATGTATCGAGGTAGACTGTTTCAGTAAGTCACTTCTCTATAAATCATCTTAACGTAACTCTGTTACTGACCTGTCCTGTGGATGTCTGGCTTATTTTATTTTTTAAATTGCTCGTCATTTGGATTTGCTTTCACGTCACAACACTGACCTGCATGGCTCCAGTACTTACAGTGTGTGGGATTGGCTTTCCTTACATTTAAAATGTTGCTAAGTCATGCTTCCCGATTCCGTGTTCAGATAACCTACAGTACTTGTACGTTCTCCCATTAGGCTTGTTTCTCACTATATGGACGATAGTTATTAACCTACGTAACGAGAAGATATGTTTAAACAGCTGTAAATTTATAACAATAATAATAATAAGTTTGGTTATCTGTTCCTGATTCTGCAATTCTAACTTGGGTGTCCACAATATTGGTATTTTGGACTCCCATACAATATCTTGAATAGATTCGAAAACTTAAGCTTTTATGTCTGTTTGCAAGTGTGTTTGTTTTTGTTGGTGTTTTTTTTTATCTGCAGACCAACGCTACAACAACCTTATCAAGACAATCTAAGTATCATCAATAATGTACGGTGAAGATACTGGTGAATAACATGGAAAACTTTATCAGACAATTGACAAATTGAGGGTCTGCTGAATTGGTTCATTTTCAAAGCCGTTTGCGTTGATCAGGTCCGTCTTTCTTAAATGATATAGCAGTTTGAAATTCGATATAACGAAACATATCCAAAAATGCATTTCTTACTTCCGATGTCAAAACCATACTGAACGATCTGCATGATCAGTGCGTGGTTTTGTCGATATACAAATCACCTACTTGCTTAATCCTTATCTAAACATAATCACGTTTTCCATTGTACGAAAGAAAAAATGCTAGCTGATCATGCCTGAATGTTATATTCTTTCTGAAAACCAGTTAAACGTAAGGATGACCTACCTCGTTTGTATTGGTTTCAAACTTTATAGCAATCCCTTTTAACAACAACGTCTCTTGCTGGCTCTGTAAGTTGTTCTACCAAACTACTTGGGCCGTATTATGTAGTTGTTTCTTGGTGCTGATGGCAGGTTTCGGATGGGTTCTTCTCCTTCTGTCCATTTGGCGGAATATGGTCGACACAAAACTAACCATTAGTGTTTCATATTATATTAGGAACGTGTTGCACTCGTTCACTGTTACTATGGACGTGTGAATTGATAATATTCAGTTCCAGTGGAGATTTGTGTGGTCTGCCATGTAGCCCATTGACAGGCGGCGACCACATTTATGAACTGTACACCATTGGCTAGAGTGACATGTGCGTTAAAAGTGGGCATGAATTTCTTCAACAGAAATTCTTCATTTTCGTGGTCACTTATGCCATCATAAATAAAAGTATTAACTGTATCAGACTTGTGTATGTTATATCTGTATGAGCACGCTGTAATAATTTCTGTCTGAAACTGTTATCTCAAGCAGAAAAATAACCAACGAATATTTCTGAATATTTCAAATGTGTTTACTAATGATACGTTAAAAAAAGAAAGTTTAATATTTCTTTATTTTGTTATACCTTTTTTAAAATATTTTTTGAAGCTTGATTAATTTATTTTCCTCTATATCATTCTTCTGTATAAAGACCACGTACATTTTCATAAAAAAATCAAACAAAAAATATACAAAAATAGTCTCAGTTTCCTAAATCTGTTATTAAATTTGGTATTAAATTCGATATTGAAATTGTACGACCTTTTTGTTTCTTGCAGCACTGTTTGTGTCGGCATCATGTTTTAATTCCTCTTCCGGGAGATCACAATATTATCATACAATATTGAGAAAATTGTATAATAGTTCAAATTCACAAGTAACTCTTATTTCGTTATATTACGCAGAAAAAATATGAACAAATGGATCTAGATTTTAGTCAGTAAATTGTCACAGCTTTTAAAATGTCACTTCATATTGAAAATATTTCTGGGAATGTAATGCTTGACCGTAATAAATTATACTTATTGTGATATGAAAATTTAGTTATTGTCTTGATAGAGCAAAAGTATGTGTGTATACTTTTGTTTCTTCTAAAAATATAATGTAGGAAGCATTCTCTACTCCATCCGAACGTTATCTAAAAATAGCAAAGTGTATATGAATTTCGTGCAAAAGTGTAGTATATCGTTTGTTGTGTAGTTATGCTTCTCATACAATGTATGTCTGTGTTAAGGGAGGGCACATAGACTGTTAAATACAATCATACATGTACGTCGTTTGCGTCTCTTTCAACGACATTGGGAGGGCCAACATCACCTACAAACTTATCCTGTTTTCACGTTCAAACTAAATCGGTTTTCACGTGCAAACTTCACCAGTTTTCATGTGCCAAGTGTTACCTGTTTTCACGTGCAACCCTTATCAGTTTGCACGGAGGTATCACAATGTTTCGTTGTGTCACATACCATCTTCATGTTTCTTAGTTGCACGGAAGTATTCCGTTGTCTCGCATTGTCTCATTTATCGCGCGGTTTTGTATTAAATTGCATTTTGCATTTCATTCAATAGCCATTTAAGTGCGTCGTACTCCATTAATTCCGAGCTATGCACATTTTCGCAATACAACTGTCACAAAGTGAGTGTTACAAATATACTACCTCTGTCATTGTCCAAGCGAATAGAGTGTCTTTCTAAGTATTCTCTTCATTATTTCTAAATGACATAATTTCTGTGATAACAAATATATTGAAGAAAATGGTGAAGAATAGCCCGTAATAACGCCCACATGTCTATTTATTCCCTCTTCCCCATTACGGATTAAATATATCTATTCGACGGGGCTATTGTTTGTTGAATGCAGGGAAAACTGAGCCGTCGACATTCCCGGCATTTTTATGTTTACCATGGCTTTTGTAAAAGGCAATTACAATCTACATAAAGACAATATCATGTTACAATATCCTGTATTCCTTGTCGATAAACCCGGATAACAATTGAGAGAGTGCATTGGTACTGGTTGGCTAACGAAGCTGGGGAATTTTTAACAACATTTTCTTTTTAAATTATGGTTGATTCACTAATGTAATAATATACAAACCTTTAAACATAAGGCTCATAAAAAACACTAAAGGCATCATTATTTGTTTTGTGTTTTACGTCCTATTAACAGCTATGGTCATTTAAGGACGTGTCAGGTTTTGGTGCTGGAGGAAAGCCGGAGTTCCCGGAGAAAACCCACCGACCTGAGAAAAGTACCCCACGTAGGCCTCGAACCCGAAACCAAGTGGTGGAGGGCTACATTGATCAAGATGTTCAGACGCCTTAACCGTTCGACTACCGCAGCCCCCTTCACTTTCCATTTCATTGTAAATTACTGTATTTTGCATGACAATGCTAATATACTGACACCATATAGAAAAATGTATTATTCCTAGATAAATCTATAATTTCAAAGAAAAATAACAACACAAGGAGACTAATCCACGGTAAAGCGAAACACCATAATTATGATAAAATGTAATATGACATGTTTATATGTTAATGCTTGTTAATTTTGGTTCATGTTGTACTGTACCATTGTAGGGGATATGGACACACGCATGAAGCTTCGAGACGACTAAACAACGCCACTCGACTAAATTAAACCGTTTTATATTAACAACCCCAACAGAGATGCAGTTTTGAATTATATTGTGCTGGAGAAGTGGGTAGTTCGAGTCTCCAAAATGAGCTCATCAACAGCGGGAAAACGTTACTCGCTAAGGGTCTGAACCAAGATATAGTTCCAGATAAAATCCCATGTGATGATTTTGACACAACCACAGAAAATGGGTTTAAGTAAAAAACTAATTCACGTTGAGGCTGACTAATAATAATAATATTTATTCAGGTAAAATAGGCATATAACAATACATGAATATCACAGAGTAGAGTAACAGTACAACATTAGATTTTGCGACAGTACTTCTACCTTTAAATTACAACATTGAGCACTAGTTAATATATATGAGATCAGAAGTTAAGAATTGTTATCACAGACATTGCAGCCTTTTATCTAGGATAAACCAAAAAGCTGAAAGCTTATTTCCATTGGAGTCCTTTTAAAGAAACTTAAGTTCAATTTTAAAATTGAATATTGGTGTTTTACATTATTTGATACATTTATGAGACTTTATTCATAAAATAAACTACTATTCCGTTTAAATATGATGGTCAGGTTAAAAGTACACATTATACCTTAATTGTTTCTTCTATTTGAATGTGAAACATACATGAAAATATTCATAATAATCTAAAACATAAAATCATATTAAAAGTCCACATATTTCCTTTCTTGTTTTCCTTTCATACGCTCCTGTAAATTAATTTATTATTTTCATTTTTGATGTTTTAAGGAAATCGTATCACATTGTTTTGTGCCACTTGTAGATTTTTTTAAAGTTTTTTTGACAGTCCTTCATACCAACTAGCACTTGCATAGTAAAAGTGGCATAGAATAAGCGCAGAGCACAAGGTCTTCCTGGATTCGAAAGACAAACAACTACTATTCCTAAACAGAAATTATAATCTTTGTTTAACCTTTTTAATCATGGAATCAACAATCTCTTCACCAGAAAACTAGTTGTAAAGTATACCAAGATATTTTAAACATGATGTAACTGAAATATTTTGATTATTACAGCTTACTGTAAAACTCTCTTCTTTATTTTACGCATTGGACCAAAAATAATACTTTAAATTTTTCCAAGATGTAACTATAATTTATTATCGACTAGC